GGTTATTATCCGAAGACACTGTGGTGGCGACACAACAACAGAAGGGTTATTATCTGAAGATACTGTGGTGGAGACACAACAACAGGAGGGTTATTATCTGAAGACACTGTGGTGGAGACACAATAACAGGAGGGTTATTATCTGAAGACACTGTGGTGGAGACACAACAACAGGTGGGTTATTATCTGAAGACACTGTGGTGGAGACACAAAAACAGGTGGGTTATTATCTGAAGACACTGTGGTGGAGACACAACAACAGGTGGGTTGTTATCTGAAGGTACTGTGGTGGAGACACAACAACAGAAGGGTTATTATCTGAAGACACCGTGGTGGAGACACAACAACAGGAGGGTTATTATCTGAAGACACTGTGGTGGAGACACAACAACAGGATGGTTATTATCTGAAGACACTGTGGTGGAGACACAACAACAGGAGGGTTATTATCTGAAGATACTGTGGTGGAGAGACAACAGGAGGGTTATTATCTGAAGACACTGTGGTGGAGACACAACAGGGGGGTTATTATCTGAAGACACTGTGGTGGAGACACAACAACAGGAGGGTTATTATCTGAAGACACTGTGGTGGAGACACAACAACAGGAGGGTTATTATCTGAAGATACTGTGGTGGAGACACAACAACAGGAGGGTTATTATCTGAAGACACTGTGGTGGAAACACAACAGGAGGAGGGTTATTATCTGAAGACACTGTGGTGGAGACACAACAACAGGAGGGTTATTATCTGAAGATACTGTGGTGGAGACACAACAACAGGAGGGTTATTATCTGAAGATACTGTGGTGGAGACACAATAACAGGAGGGTTATTATCTGAAGACACTGTGGTGGAGACACAACAACAGGAGGGTTATTATCTGAAGATACTGTGGTGGAGACACAACAACAGGAGGGTTATTATCTGAAGATACTGTGGTGGAGACACAACAACAGGAGGGTAATTATAGAACTGACTGAAAGAGGGAGAGGAAAAATGAGGAGAGAGGAGAAGAGAACGGATGGAGGAAGAGGAGGGGGAAGAAAGGCAAGATGATGAAGAGAAGGGAAACGAGGAGGAGGAAGAGGAGAAGAAGAAGAAGAAGAGGAGTAAGAGGAGAAAAAGGAAGAAGCTGCTGTTCAAAAGCACCAGAAGTCCCAACATCTCATCACATGGCCTACAGTTAAACACAATCCCCCTATTATGTACATCTGCAAGATAATCTTAACATTACAGGCAAACCACTGAACTGACCACAGGAGAGATTTAGCATCAGATTCACATGAAGAAGGCCAGAATATGACTAGTATCGTTCATAGGAACGATACCAGTCATCACCACACAGGTGTCACGATATTTTTGGTATCCCGTCACATTGTGTTTCCACTCTCTCTTTCACAACCCTTCATCCCACCACTGTCTGTCTATACTCCTACCTGATAAGCTCTCGGCTCGAAACTTTGTATGTGGTATGCAAATGCAGGAGTTACTGTGTTACTGCAATAGTGAATGCGATATTACCCAGTTTAGTTATAGTAGGCTAGATATTTATACACAAGATGTTCAAGGGATATGTTCTGGTGTTTTCTATATGTTGGTGAAGCTGTGAAAAGTAATGCAACGGTAACTCTGAAACTGAAAAGAGCTTTTGTAAGTCTAACCAAACTCACATTGTTTATCTTAATCCAAACATGTCAACCATGAGCCATAGTATTTTTGTACGGGAGGGGGATGTAACAGTGTGTGTGTGTGTGTGTGTGTGTGTCTGTGTCTGTGTGTGTGTGTGTGTGTGTGTGTGTGTGTGTGTGTGTGTGTGTGTGTGTGTGTGTGTGTGTGTGTGTGTGTGTGTGTGTGCAGTCATCCATGCAAACCAGAGAAGGGTGTTGGCCCTAATTTAAGAGGTTAAAGAAAAATATCAACAAGCAGCACTATACTGCTGTTAAACAGCTAACAACTAGTTCTCTGTTCTACACACCCTTCCTACAGCCTGTAATAAGATCCTAAACTCACACACTGACATGACAGTATACTATTTAGCTACAAAATAATCTGTGTAACTCCATTAAACAAAGTTTTGGGATGACATATTTATGTAATAATTTACAATGCATTTTAACAAGAAATGCAATTTAGCTACATATTAACCTTTTTGTAACTCAAGGAAATGAAGTTTGGAGATGCCAAAGTTATGTAATGATTTAAAATGTCGCCTATCCTAACACACAATAAAACAAGCCTGGTCCCAAATATGTCTGTGCTTTTGCCAACTCATGGCTATAGCATGGCAATGAGTGACAAGGAGTTGGTATGATAGCACAAACAGACTGTCGCTCAGGCTACAATAAATTCTCCATCCTTTTAGGTGTTTTATTGTCATGACAACTGAGCATGAAGTAATCGTTCATTTAGAAAGGTGTCATCATTCTTTGATGTGTTGATATCATTTTCCCCTTTCATGATTATTCTTCACAGTGTTTCGAAACAGGAACGATGTCAGTGACAAGTAAGGAAAGGAAATAGTTCCTCTTGCAAGATTTCTGATCCCAGTAAAATAGCAAGACCACAAAAACGTACACTAACGTGTACAACATCTGTTACAATAATGTCATAACCAGGTAAGGCTAATTCAAGATGATAATGTCTACCACCATGATTACTTTTGCTAGCAATGTTTCTATTCACAGGTGAAAATAAAATGTTAGACCCTGAATTGTAATGCAATAACGACTTAAAAAGTGAATTTACCCATTTGGCAATCGGTCATTGGCACACAGGAGAATCGCTCAAAATCGATAGGCTACACACCGTAGAAACGACAGGTATTTAAACATGATAAAGTAACAAACCGGTGTCATCCATGCAAACTCCACAGCTCGATATTGTAAAGTGACACTCAGTCAAGATTATCTTAGACCAGAAGTGGACGTTTCCGCAAATGATGTAGCAACTGCCTCAAAGTAGATGTATGTTACAGTTTACAATAAAGAAGTGTTTACTTCTAAACGAAACATAATTTTTCTAATCAAACAATATGACAAGTAGGCTATTTTATTTTGTGTCATGCATAAATAGACTTTCACAAAGCGGCTATTGACACGTTGAACTTTAATAACTATTTTGTTAGAGTGAACTAAATACAGGCTGAGGGAAAAATATCGGTCCCTCCTGGATAAATTGCACTAAACCGCCCTCTACTGTTTTAAATTAACATTACAGTTCAGTCAACAAGGCCCAAAAGTTATTTATAGGTGAGCAACTTATTTTCATTGCAAGAGTCAGTGATGATGATGATGATGATGAGGATGATGAGGTATTTGATTTCAAACATATCTTACATTTCAAAGTGTGATGGCAGGCTATCTTTGCTGTGTGGGGGGGGGTCTGTGTATGTGTGTTTGTGCATGCTGTGTGAGAGAGAGAGAGAGAGAGAGAGAGAGAGTTCACTCAGTAATCGAGAGAGAGAGAGAGAGAGTTCACTCAGTAATCGAGAGAGAGAGAGAGAGAGTTCACTCAGTAATCGAGAGAGAGAGAGAGAGGAGAGAAGAGAGAGAGAGAGAGAGAGACTAGCGGGTCGAGAGAGAGAGAGAGATAGAGAGAGAGAGAGAGAGAGGAGAGAGTAGGAGAGAGAGGAGAGTAGAGTTCAGATGAGAAGGAGAGACATCGTATCGAGACAGAGATAGAGAATCTCAGTGTCGAGAGAGAGAGAGAAGACGAGAGAGAGATCACTCAGTAATCAGAGAGAGAGAGGACGAAGAGAGACACTCATCATTGATCGAGAGAGAGAGAAGACAGAGAGGATCACTCAGTATCGAGAGAGAAACGAGAGGATCACTCAGTATCGAGGAGAGAGAGAGAGAGAGAGAGAAGAGAGAGAAGATTGAGTGGTGTAGCAACTTCCTGCCGTTGCATGAGGCGTTGAATTGCAGTTGTTTTCTCTCTCTGAAACTCTCACAGACTGTTACACAGAGAGAAGCGGGAGCTGACTCAAGCTAAGCAGGATGCAGGCTATCAAATGTGTTGTTGTGGGAGATGGGTAGGTGTTTTACATTTTATTGTACTACATGATATCTTAATACTGTGATTTAATCATCGGTTCAATGTGCGATCAAACCCTATATGAGTTTTATTGGCTACTCAGTATATGAAGCCAAGAGTGGATGCTTGTTGATGTCTTAACTTTCTCTGTTATGGGTTACTTCAAGTGCTTCTCTTTCTGTTCTCTTTGTACATCTATAGAAATACATGTACAAATATTTTCAATCACAAATCATGCAACAGATAGATTAGAAACATGAGTCTGTTGATAGACTGAACGGTTTGTTGACACTGCTAATCAGATGTATCCAAAGATAAAGAGTTGTAGTGTCTGTTAAAATAGCTATCTCAGTTAGTAGAGTTCCCTACCACTCATAACTTAGTTAATCATTAGTTGATAAACAGACAACTATTATCTGTCATCCAGCTCCATTGAATCTGAACCCCAAAGCCAACTTCAATGGACTCTTATGTCAGAATATAGTACTATATAACAGACATAGCAGCTGTATAGTACAGGCCAGGACATGCATTAAAATGCTGGCATGCAAGAGGATCACTAGGGCTACGTCCCAAATGGCACCCTATTCCCTATGTAGTGCACTACTTTCACTATGGGCCTTGGTCAAAAGTTGTGCAATATATAGGGTGCCATTTGGGACGCATAACATGTGTTGTTCAGAGCAGCTGAAACCAGGTAAATACACATATCATAAGGGAGGGATTTGATTGACTCATAATAGAATAGAATAGAGTGGTTGGTCAATCTATCTCTGTTATTGATGTACATAATACATGGATTCAGTTGTCATATCTATAGTGTAAACAGCTTGATTTCAGTTCACTTGTCTGACATATTTGACATTTTCAAGGTTGTGTTTTGCAACTCAAAGGTGTGTCGTGTCACACTCAGTTTGTTTGATGGGTCAGTGACAAAAGTTAGGATTTTCATCTACAGTATGTATAGATGCCCCGATTTCTGTTCACATTCTTGACATTGTCTGTGAATTCATAGAACTTTGAGGTATGTTAAAACACTGGAGCCGAAGGTGTGTCCTATCAGACCTGCTTTACTAGGACACTGAGAGGAGAAGTGATGAGGTAGAGGTCACATTGTCAGGAGAGGGGAACATGGCCTTACAGAGAGGAAAGTGTTGTTGTTGACATATTCATTGTGTCATGAAGTACATCAGCAATACAAAGATGAGGGGATCAGTGTCCAGACAGTTATTGTCTCTGTACCAAATGACACCCTATTCCCTATGGGATGCTGGTAAAAAAGAAAGTGCACTATATAGAGCCCTATGGGCCCTGGTCAAAAGTAGTGCACTAAGTAGGGAATAGGATGCCATTTGGGACACGGAGAGAGTAAACAACCTGTTTTCAGTGTACACTAATGGGTGAGGTCACTTCACAGGTTGATATTCAATAGGTGATGTACCTAAACAGGTGATTGAAAAGGGATGGATGGTAAGAGAGAAGGAGGAGAGGGAGAGAATGGGTTCCATGTAGAACCCTCTGTGGAAAGGGTTCTACATGGAACCCAAAAGAGTTCTACCTGGAACCCAAAAGGGTTCTTCAAAGGGTTATCCTATGGGGACAGCTGAAGAATCCTTTTAGGTTCTAGATAGCACCTTTTTTCTAAGAGTGTAGGCTACACTCTCATATAACGCCAATAACGAATGGTGAGAGAAAGGTGGGAGATGAGAGAGAGAGAGGAGAGAAGATAGAGATATGGGGGATGTGAGAGAGAGAGAGAGAGAGAGAGAGAAGAGAGAGAGAGAGAGAGAGATCGCGGATAAGCAGATCGAGATCTAGATATAGCGAGATACGCGAGAGCTCTCGCGATCGAGGCGCCGCTCGCTCGCTCGATAGCGATCGCCCTACTCTCCTCTCGCGAGCGAGAGTCTAGTCTATCGAGCTCTAGACCTCTTCTAGAGCGAATAAAACACCATCCCAGATGTCTAGTTACGCATAGTCCTAGAAAAAGAGAATGAACATGAGAAAAATACCAAAAAGGATCAGAGGGAGAGGTCTGTCTTATCTGCCATTTTGACTATTTCCTGTTTTTCAGTGCTGACTGACTGACAGTTTTGATCAGGGCCTGAGTAGGAGTGCTGATCTAGAATCAGTTTAGGCTTTTAGATCACAATGAATGAGACATGGGGGACCTGATCCTAGATCAGCACTCCTAGTCTGAAATGCTTTGTGAATACAGGCCCAGTTCCCATTGACACATTTTGTCAGCATAATTTTCACAAGCCCCCTCCTTGTAACATTATCTCTATATATTACAGTACTGTATGTGTATCATGATTAGCTGTTTTGTAATATGCCAAATGATATTCAAAAATAGCCCCAGCCTCTGTCTCTTAAACAAGTGTCTTTGGTTATGAAGGAATGAGGTTATGGTGAAACCCAGACAGACTCATCACTCTCTAAAACAGAAGCTGGCTTCCTGTAAACCATGTGACCTACTCTGGTCGCCGTGGTTATGAGCCCTTGTCAACCTCTGTGACATCTGTGAGTAGCACGCTGGATATGAGTGTTTGTAAAAATGACACAAAAGGAAATATTGAGTACAAAACACACTGAAAAATGACAGAGAGAGTATTTTTGTTTGTTTATTTTCTCATATCTAATGTGATGATGAAGCATGTTGTTTTCAATGAGGAAGACAATAGCCTGAGAGATAGAGACCTTTAGTCATCATAGCAGAAGGCTATGCTACGTCTTCTTGAGTAACGGTTCAGTGGAAAAACAAGATGTCCGCCGATGATAAAGATGATAGACTTGGCTTGAGTTGGCTATATGAGGTTAATGTATTACTCAACACCTTGATGTAGTTCTAACCCAAGTCATGATGTTGATGAAGTTGAGACATGACAGGGCATGTTTGTGTAATGGAATGTGATTGGTTGATTAACCTTGAAATATGAATACTTGTTACTTATGGCCAACCCCAGCTTCCTTTGTTCAGACTGGAGTCATTTGATTGAGCTGTGAGATATGGAACAGAGCCCTGAAAATGCTTCAATGTTTCATTGTCTATTTCATGTGTTCAAATGGTGTAGGGAACCCACTGGGCACAGACGTCATTTCAATGTCTAGTTTTGATTTACAGTTGGTTGAGTGGTCAACTAATGTGAATTCAACTTGAAATCAACAAAAAATGTCATGTAATTTTATTTAGGTTACAAGTTGTGTGAAAAAAATGCGAAATTCCCTTACGATGATGACTCTTTGCAAATCCAATCAGTTTTCCACATTGATTCAATGTCATGACATTATTTTATATTTTTTTTGAAATGACGTGGAAACAACTTTGATTCAACCAGTGTTTGCACAGTGAGAAGTTGCATTTTCCTCACTAATGGTTAAGGTTAGGATCGGGGGAGGGGAAGCTTATCCTAGATCTGTACTGAGGGGAAACGTCACCACAGAGCTTTTTAAATGACCATTGAGTTCTATTGAAAATGCTGATGTGTATTTTCCCTGGGTGTTTCAGAGCTGTGGGGAAAACATGTCTTCTCATCAGCTACACAACCAACGCTTTCCCTGGAGAATACATCCCTACTGTGTAAGTACACACACACACACACACACACACACACACACACACACACACACACACACACACACACAAACACACACTTTATTTGTAGAGTACTCTAGAAAAAGTGTGTGTGTATGTTCTCTCCCTCAGCTTTGATAACTACTCAGCCAATGTGATGGTGGACAGTAAGCCAGTCAACCTGGGTCTCTGGGATACAGCAGGACAGGAGGACTACGACAGGCTGAGACCACTGTCCTACCCACAGACGGTACACACACTCACACATTTATATATATATATATAATACACACCTAATTGAGTCCGGTGTCCTATGTTAATGTATAGAGCTTGATCTCTCTCTCTCTCTCTCTCTCTCTCTCTCTCTCTCTCTCTCTCTCTCTCTCTCTCTCTCTCTCTCTCTCTCTCTCTCTCGCTCTCGCTCTCGCTCTCGCTCTCTCTCTTCCAGGACGTGTTCCTCATCTGTTTCTCTCTGGTGAGCCCAGCCTCCTATGAGAACGTCAGAGCCAAGGTGATCATCTCTAGATTATACCTGTATCTATCACAGTGAAATGAAAGCACTTTTGATCTTTTTAAAGATCTTTTCATTCTTATTTTCAAGATGTTTTCATTATTTCTACATAGTCTATTCATCGTTGTAACAGAACAGTGTGGGCGTGAAATGCATCACACACAAAACAACAGCCATCATCACTTGGGAACAAGGGCCTTGACATTTTTATTTTATTGGTTTTCACATATTAAAGCTAGAATCCTTAAATGCTACATCCATTTTGGGACTTATAAATTAATGATATGTACCTATTGATTCTTGAAGAATATAACTTTTAAATGCCTCATGAGCATACCCCATCAGAACCGAAAACATAATATTGTTTTACTCCAGTGTATGTAAACGTAAATGTAAACAAATACTGTATATATGTTTGAAATGATACGTTTGATATCATGGATGGTCCTTGCATCCATAACTCTGTCTATGAATTTGAGAATGGTTACATTTCTCCAGCCACTTCCCTTAGCTTTTAAGCGAAACAGCGGCGGTGACAATGATTTGTTATTGTTTAAATTAAGGATTCTAGCTTTAATGATACAACATAACAAAATAATGATTTCATTCTTTAAGTGGAGGGAGAAGAGGGGGTGTTGGTGTAACATACATTCTCAAATAGGACTTAGTCCATAGTGCCATAAGCCATAAACACATTCATAGCAAGCGTTGTCCTCCATAGCGAGGGAGCCCACCCCTCCCCCAGAGACCGACCCCCGTGTCCCCGCTCCGGCTCCCAACCCAGACAATGAACGTGTCAATAAATATCTATTTGATGTCAGGTGCATTGGGTCTGGGCCGGAGCAGAGAGCCACAAGGGGATGGGTCCCCTGGAAGAGGGCCAGGCAGCCACGCCACACAAGGCCAATGTCCAACACATTACCTACTAGATTTTAGAAAATAATAATAATATTAAGCAATAATTGTTTATTTATTTTAACACGGGAGTTCTGTAGTGTTCAAAGACATTAACACATAATCATGTCATATGTCAGCCATGTTTGAATTGGTCTCTGAATTGAGGCCGCTCCACCCTCTCCCCAGAGACCCACTCCCAGGCCGCTCCACCACCTCCCCAGAGACCCACTCCCAGGCCACTCCACCACCTACCCAGAGACCCACTCCCAGGCCGCTCCACCACCTACCCAGAGACCCACTCCCAGGCCGCTCCACCACCTCCCCAGAGACCCACTCCCAGGCCGCTCCACCACCTCCCCAGAGACCCACCTCCCAGGCCGCTCCACCACCTACCCAGAGACCCACTCCAGGCCGCTCCACCCCCTCCCCAGAGACCCACTCCCAGGCCGCTCCACCCCCTCCCCAGAGACCCACTCCCAGCCACGCCACCCCCCTCCCCAGAGACCCACTCCCAGCCGCTTCCACCCCCCTCCCCATAGACCCACTCCAGGCCGCTCCACCCCCTCCCCAGAGACCCACTCCCAGGCCACGCCACCCCCTCCCCCGAAGACCCACTCCCAGGCCACACCACCCCCTCCCCAAGACCCACTCCCAGGCCGCTCCACCCCCTCCCAGAGACCCACTCCCAGGCCGCTCCACCCCCTCCCCAGAGACCCACTCCCAGTGCCGCTCCACCCCCTCCCCAGAGACCCACTCCCAGCCACACACCCCCTCCCCAGAGACCCACTCCCAGGCCACGCCACCCCCTCCCAGAGACCCACTCCCAGGCCACGCCACCCCCTCCCCAGAGACCCACTCCCAGGCCACACCACCCGCCCAGGATTGGGGAGTAACTGCTTTCATGTAATCAGTTACATGTAATCTGATTACAAAAAAATTTAACTGTACAAATATTGTAATCAGATTACAGGTACTTTTGAAAAACGAGATGATTAGTTACATGTAATCTGATTACAAAACAACTGCAACTGTAATCAGTTAAATTACCATCAAAAATATTGTAATCAGATTACAGATACTTTAAATAAAACGAGATGATTACTACTTGGATTACTTTAAATTCAGAAAGGATGTTTGCGACAAAATACATAATGAAACCTTTCTGTTTTCTCCATGACATTCAAATCAGCGTTAAAAAAAGTTGACGTTAAGGTTTGTTCCACCTGAGCCATCAGAACACATTCATTTCATGTAACAACGGAGGTACAGCAACACCTGGGTCTATGTTACAGAACAACAATGATGTTTTAAAGGAGATACTGGTTCACTCTAAGTATAACAGGAAGGCCTCCCAATTAGTGTAAAAGAGGTCTGTTTCTTGACTGTGTCCAGCTTGCTAATAATAACTGAAATGAAAGCTAGACAGTCAGGGAGCATCGAAAGTTCCCAAAAGGATGGATAAAGGACAATTTTTTGCAAATGTTGACGGCGATGAAATATTACAGATTTTCAGAGCGACCCACCGGACCTAGTTGAAGACTGAATGCGGCCCCCCAGGGTAAAATGAGTTTGACAGCCCTGATGGAGTGTAGCACTACAGTTCTTCCAGTCAAATGAACCATCTGACCAGCAGGGTTTCACATGCAACAACATCAGACTTAGTTTTGCATAACCTTGTTGAGATTGGAGTTAAGCTGAAGAGGGCCTCTAGGGGGCAGGGTTCCCTAGTCATCCCCAAACATCTGACAGAGTATCAACTATATGTCTCCAGTATGGTTTGATCATGGGACACGACCAGAACCTGGGCAGTAAAATGGTTGGTCCCGCTGGCAGCGGTCACAGGTGGCGTCCATGTCAGGGTACATGTTAAATAGTCTATACTTGGTCCAGTGCATATGCGTAGTTTTAATTGAATGAGACTATGCATCACACAGATAGTAGTGATGTCACAATGACACGCACATTCTATTGAGTAGAATCCATAGTACAGCCTTTTCACCTCTTCTCTTTTGAAGAGACTCTTCAGAACACTCAATTTGGATCTGGCTTTTAATAAATATCTAGTCTTGTTTGTAAGGATTTCTCCCAATAGCTGGCAGCACTACACAATCCACTCATGTTAATTCTGTTGCCCCTTCACTCTTTTCTCCATCCAATGCTAAAAGTGTTTTTGCATTTTCTGTTTCTCTTTGCTGTTTTTCTTCTGTCACCATGGCGACCGGGTCCCTATAACGCAAATGTTGTCCCAGACTGATACTAGATTATCATAGAGTGTTGCTTTGGGTCACAACATGATGGAATGATGCTTTCCCCTTTGTGTTGAGTTTTTATCCGTATGCTCATGTGTGTGTGTGTGTGTGTGTGTGTGTGTGTGTGTGTGTGTGTGTGTGTGTGTGTATGTGTGTGTGTGTGTGTGTGTGTGTGTGTGTGTGTGTGTGTGTGTGTGTACCTAGCTTTGAGCCCAGGATATGAGGAGATGAGGCTATTAGTGATCTCAGTAGGTGGTGCGGTAGCTGTGTGTCTTTGTGTGTGTGTGTGGTACAGTGTCTTTGTGTGTGTGTGTGTGTGTGTGTGGTACAGTGTCTTTGTGTGTGTGTGTGTGTGTGTGTGTGTGGTACAGTGTCTTTGTGTGTGTGTGTGTGTGTGTGTGTGTGTGTGTGTGTGGTACAGTGTCTTTGTGTGTGTGTGTGTGTGTGTGTGTGTGTGGTACAGTGTCTTTGTGTGTGTGTGTGTGTGTGTGTGTGTGTGTGTGTGTGTGTGTGTGTGTGGTACAGTGTGTGTCTATAGAGGCTTCACCACCACCTGCTGTGTGTAGATGAGAATGATCTCTCAGATCATGTCTTCGTTCCAAATGGTACCCTATTCCCTGCATGAATTTTGACCCTGGTAGTGCACTATATAGGGAATTTAGGAGTACGACCTAGAGTACGACATATATTTACAATAGGACACCGTGTACCGACATACAGTATATCTATCATAGGACACCGTGTACTTGCATACAGTATATCTATCATAGGATAACAGGAAGAACATAGCTGGTGTTCCAATCAGGACACAACGTCCTTGTCTTGTGTAACAAGATATTGTTTGCCTCCCAAATGGCACGCTATTCCCCATAGTGCACTACTTTTGACCAGGGCCAACGGGGCTCTAAATAGGGAATAGTGGGCCATTTGGGACTGAAACATTGTGATAGCTGATGAATACTGCTGGTTAACTCTTGAGACAGGACATATACCTTGGTTACTCTCTGATAAACCTTCAAATTGACTAATGAAAAATGACATATTTTCTCTTCCTCCTCCTCCCTCTCTACTGTCTCTACACCCCATCATCCTCCTCCCTCTCTACTGTCTCTACACCCCATCATCCTCCTCCCTCTCTACTGTCTCTACACCCCATCATCCTCCTTCCTCTCTACTGTCTCTACACCCCATCATCCTCCTCCCTCCTCCTCCATCTCTACTGTCTCTACACCCCATCATCCTCCTTCCTCTCTACTGTCTCTACACCCCATCATCCTCCTCCCTCCTCCTCCATCTCTACTGTCTCTACACCCCATCATCCTCCTCCCTCTCTACTGTCTCTACACCCCATCATCCTCCTCCCTCTCTACTGTCTCTACACCCCATCATCCTCCTCCTCCCTCTCTACTGTCTCTACACCCCATCATCCTCCTCTCTCCTCCTCCCTCTCTACTGTCTCTACACCCCATCATCCTCCTCCCTCCTCCTCCATCTCTACTGTCTCTACACCCCATCATCCTCCTCCCTCCTCCTCCCTCTCTACTGTCTCTACACTCCATCATCCTCCTCCCTCTCTACTGTCTCTACACCCCATCATCATCCTCCTCCCTCTCTATTGTCTCTACACCCCATCATCCTCCTCCCTCTCTACTGTCTCTACACCCCATCATCCTCCTCCCTCTCTACTGTCTCTACACCCCATCATCCTCCTCCCTCTCTACTGTCTCTTCACCCCATCATCCTCCTCCCTCTCTACTGTCTCTACACCCCATCAATCCTCCTCCCTCTCTACTGTCCTCTACACCTCATCATCCTCCTCCCTCTCTACTGTCTCTACAACCCCATCATCCTCCTCTCTCTCTACTGTCTCTACACCCCCATCATCCTCCTTCCTCTCTACTGTCTCTACAACCCCATCATCCTCCTCTCTCTCTACTGTCTCTACAACCCCATCATCCTCCTCTCTCTCTACTGTCTCTACACCCCATCATCCTCCTCCCTCTCTACTGTCTCTACACCCCATCATCCTCCTCCCTCTCTACTGTCTCTACACCCCATCATCCTCCTCCCTCCTCCTCCCTCTCTACTGTCTCTACACCCCATCATCCTCCTCCCTCTCTACTGTCCTCTACACCCCATCATCATCCTCCTCCCTCTCTACTGTCTCTACAACCCCATAATCCTCCTCCCTCTCTACTGTCTCTACACCCCATCATCCTCCTCCTCTCTATTGTCTCTACCACCCCATCATCCTCCTCCCTCTCTACTGTCTCTACACCCCCATCATCCTCCTCTCTCTCTATTGTCTCTACACCACATCATCCTCCTCCCTCTCTACTGTCTCTACAACCCCATCATCCTCCTCCCTCTCTACTGTCCTCTACAACCCCATCCTCCTCCCCTCCCTCTCTACTGTCTCTACACCCCATCATCCTCCTCCCTCTCTACTGTCTCTACACCCCATCATCCTCCTCCCTCTCTACTGTCTCTACACCCCATCATCCTCCTCCCTCTCTACTGTCTCTACACCTCATCATCCTCCTCCCTCTCTACTGTCCTACAACCTCATCATCCTCCTCCCTCTCTACTGTCTCTACACCCCATCATCCTCCTCCCTCCTCCTCCCTCTCTACTGTCTCTACACCCCATCATCCTCCTCCCTCTCTATTGTCTCTACACCTCATCATCCTCCTCCTCCCTCTCTACTGTCTCTACACCCCATCATCCCTCCTCCTCCCTCTCACTGTCTCTATACCGTCATCATCCTCCTCCCTCTCTACTGTCCTACAACCCCCATCATTCTCCTCCTCTCTACTGTCCTCTACAACCCACACTCATCCTCCTCCCTCTCTACTGTCTCTACAACCCCATCATCCTCCTCCCTCTCTACTGTCTCTACACCCCATCATCCTCCTCCTCTCTATTGTCCTCTACAACCCCCCATCATCCTCCTCCTCTCTATTGTCTCTACACCCCATCAATCCTCCTCCCTCTCTACTGTCTCTACACCCCCATCATCCTCCTCCCTCCTCTCCCTCTCTATTGTCTCTACAACCCCATCATCCTCCTCCCTCTCTACTGTCTCTACAACCCCATCATCCTCCTCTCTCTCCACTGTCTCTACACCCCATCATCCTCCTCCCTCCTCCTCCCTCTCTACTGTCTCACACCCCATCATCCTCCCCCCTCCTCCTCCCTCTCTCGTCTCTACACCCCATCATCCTCCTCCCTCTCTATTGCCCTCTACACCCACCCTCCTCATCCTCCTCCCTCTCTACTGTCTCTACACCCCATCATCCTCCTCCCTCTCTACTGTCTCTACACCCCATCATCCTCCCCCTCTCTCTCTACTGTCTCTACACCCCATCATCCTCCCCCCTCTCTACTACTGTCTCTACACCCCATCATCCTCCTCCTCTCTTTACTGTCTCTACAACACCTCATCCTCCTCCTCCCTCTCTACTGTCTCTACACCTCACATCCTCCTCCCTCTCTACTGTCTCTACACCCCTCATCCTCCTCCCTCTCTACTGTCTCTACACCCCATCATCCTCCTCCTCTCTCTTCTGTCTCTACACCCCATCATCCTCCTCCCTCTCTACTGTCTCTACACCCCATAATCCTCCTCCCTCTCTACTGTCTCTACACCCCATCATCCTCCTCCTCCCTCCCTCTATTGTCTCTACAACCCCATCTCCTCCCCCTCTATTGTCTCTACACCTCATCATCCTCCTCCCTCTCTACTGTCTCTACACCCCATCATCCTCCCCCTCCTCTCCCTCTCTACTGTCTCTAAACCCCCATCATCCTCCTCCCTCCTCCTCCCTCTCTACTGTCTCTACAACCCCATCATCCTCCCTCCCTCTCTATTGTCTCTAACACCCCATCATCCTCCTCCCTCTCTATTGTCTCTACACCTCATCATCCTCCTCCTCCCTCTCTACTGTCTCTACACCCCATCATCCTCCTCTCTCTCTACTGTCTCTACACCCCATCATCCTCCTCCTCTCTCTCTACTGTCTCTACACCTCATCATCCTCCTCCCTCCTCCTCCCTCTCTACTGTCTCTACACCCCATCATCCTCCTCTCTCTCTATTGTCTCTACACCCCATCATCCTCCTCCCTCCTCCTCCCTCTCTACTGTCTCTACAACTCATCCTCCTCCTCCCTCTCACTGTCTCTACCTCCTCCCCTCCTCTCTACTGTCTCTACACCCCATCATCCTCCTCCCTCCTCCTCCCTCTCTACTGTCTCTACACCCCATCATCCTCCTCCTCTCTCTCTACTGTCTCTACACCTCATCATCCTCCTCCCTCCTCCTCCCTCTCTACTGTCTCTACACCCCATCATCCTCCTCTCTCTCTATTGTCTCTACACCCCATCATCCTCCTCCCTCCTCCTCCCTCTCTACTGTCTCTACACCTCATCATCCTCCTCCCTCTCTACTGTCTCTACACCTCATCATCCTCCTCCCTCTCTACTGTCTCTACACCCCATCATCCTCCTCCCTCCTCCTCCCTCTCTACTGTCTCTACACCCCCATCATCCTCCTCCCTCTCTACTGTCTCTACACCCCATCATCCTCCTCCTCTCTAATGTCTCTACACCCCATCATCCTCCTCCCTCTCTACTGTCTCTACACCTCATCATCCTCCTCTCTCTCTACTGTCTCTACACCCAATCCTCCTCCTCCCTCTCTACTGTCTCTACACCCCATCATCCTCCTCCCTCTCTACTGTCTCTACACCCCAATCCTCCTCCTCCCTCTCTACTGTCTCTATACCCCATCATCCTCCTCTCTCTCTACTGTCTCTACACCTCATCCTCCTCCTCCCTCTCTACTGTCTCTACACCTCATCATCTTCCTCCCTCTCTACTGTCTCTTCACCCCATCCTCCTCCTCCCTCTCTACTGTCTCTACACCTCATCATCCTCCCCCCTCTCTACTGTCTCTACACTCCATCATCCTCCTCCCTCTCTACTGTCTCTACACCCCATCATCCTCCTCTCTCTCTACTGTCTCTACACCCCATCATCCTCCTCCCTCTCTACTGTCTCTACACCCCATCATCCTCCTCCCTCTCTACTGTCTCTACACCCCATCATCCTCCTCCTCTCTATTGTCTCTACACCCCATCATCCTCCTCCCTCTCTACTGTCTCTACACCCCATCATCCTCCTCCCTCTCTACTGTCTCTACACCCCATCATCCTCCTCCCTCTCTACTGTCTCTACACCCCATCATCCTCCTTTGTGGGTCTGTGTAATCTGAGGGAAATATGTGTCTCTAATATGGTCATACATTTGGCAGGAGGTTAGGAAGTGCAGCTCAGTTTCCACCTCATTTTGTGGGCAGTGTGCACATAGCCTGTCTTCTCTTGAAAGCCAGGTCTGCCTACGGCGGCCTTTCTCAATAGCAAGGATATGCTCACTGAGTCTATACATAATTTTGGGTCAGTCACAGTGGTCAGGTATTCTGCCACTGTGTACTCTCTGTTTAGGACCAAATAGCATTCTAGTTTGCTCTGTGTTTTTGTTAATTCTTTCCAAAGTGTCAAGTAATTATCTTTTTGGTTTTTCATGATTTGGTTGGGTCTAATTGTGTTGCTGTCCTGGGTCTCTGTGGGGTCTGTTTGTGTTTGTGAAGCCAGCTTGCTTAGGGGACCCTTCTCCAGGTTAAGCTCTCTGTAGATTATGGATTATGATTTTGTTATGGAAGGTTTGGGAATTGCTTCCTTTTAGGTGGTTGTAGAATTTAACATCTCATTTCTGGATTTTGATATTTAGCAGGTATCAACCCCCCTTCTGCTCTGCATGCATTATTTGGTGTTTTGCGTTGTACACAGAGGATATTTTTGCAGAATTCTGCATGCAGTCTCTCTCTCTCTCTCTCTCTCTGTCTCTGTCTCACTCTATCTCTATCTGTCTATCTCTCTCTCACTCTCGCTCTCTCTCCCTTTTGCCCTACTGTGGTATCCAGAGGTGTGGTACACTGGTAGCTACTAGCCGATAATCAAATATTTCTCAATTTCTCTCTCTCCTCCTCCACTCCCTCCCTCCCTCCCTCTCTCTCTCTCTCTTTAGTGGTACCCGGAGGTGCGTCACCACTGCCCGTCAACCCCTATCATCCTAGTGGGTACTAAGCTGGATCTGAGGGATGAGAAGGAGACCATCGAGAAGCTCAAAGAGAAGAAACTGGCCCCCATCACCTACCCACAAGGCCTAGCGCTGGCCAAGGAGATTGGTAGGTCACTGCATATAATAATCCATTGCTTTTTATAATGATGGAATTGCATTTTGTAAAGCACTCTAAAGCACTTTGTGTTAACAGCTGATGTAAATAGAGCTTTATAATATACAGTACATTTGATTGATTGATATTTTGTTTTACAAGTGTTCTATGAATTGTATTAAATGAGAGAAGCTGTACCAATCTATTCAGACCGCATCTCCTCAGATTCACATCTTTTCACATACAACATACTGTTCATAGAGAATGAAGTGCCTAGCTATGTTGCATGCATGTACACAGTATTTACCTCTCTCTCTCTCTCTCTCTCTCTCTCTCTCTCTCTCCCTCTCCCTCTCCCTCTCCCCTCTCCCTCTCCCTCTCCCTCTCTCTCTCTCTCTCTCTCTCTCTCTCTCTCTCCCGCCTTCCACCATCTCCCGCCCCAGACTCTGTGAAGTACCTGGAGTGTTCTGCTCTGACCCAGCGTGGCCTGAAGACAGTGTTTGACGAGGCTATCAGGGCAGTACTCTGCCCACAGCCAACCAAGGTCGGGAAGAAGAAATGTCTACTGCTCTAACAGGTGAGAGGGAGGCAGGGAGGTAGGGAGGGATGGATGGAGGGGGAGGGAGGGAGGGAGAGAGAGAGGGAAGGAGGAAGAGGGAGGGAGGGAGGGAGGGTGAGGCAGGGCCTCTGCCCACAGCCCACCAAGGTTAGGAAGAAGGGATGCCTAGTTCTCTAACTGATGAGAGTGATGGAGGGAGGGAGAGATGGAGGGAGGGAGTTTTGGAATCTCTGAAAAGAAAGACGGCGATAGTGTGTGAAAGAAAGAGGGTGACAGTGAGAAAGCTAGAGATTACATTTACCTTTATTCTATCTACATTATTCTCACAATCTGTTGTTGTTGTTGTTTCTTTGGATGCAGCTAAGAGTGAAAATGGACAGCGAACAAACCAGGGAGAAAGATGTTAACTTCAATAAAAACATTGACTTTATTCCTTCTGAAAGCCTATATGGTTAAATACATATAAAATACTATAATTAAATCATGTTAAATCTATTACAATGGTCTCTGATGTGTGCTTGTTTGGTACTGGTATATAGTGTATGATATACGAGTTTTTGTAAAAGGAAAAAGTTGTATAATCTTTGCAGAATATTAATAATCTGAATAATACAATACTGTAATATTTTCCCCTCTACTGTGAAGGTGATATTTGACCTTGATGTAAGTGTGTCCCAAATGGCACCCTAATCCCTATGTGTACTACTTTTGACCAGAGCTCTATGGGTGTCCTAGTGCACTACATAGGGAATTGGGTTTTATTTGGGACACATACAAATTGTTTTGGTATACAATTAAACTCAATTTTCAAACACTGCCACCACCATCATCATGATCATCATCATTATTATTGTAATGAATACTCGGACAGAGTGGTAAGATCCAATCGCAGAATAGCGATGCTTTATTAGAGTACAGACAAGGGAATAGCTTAATCGTGGTCGGGCGGGCTGTGGTCAAAACCGGGCCAGGCATAGACAGGTGGTCCTCTGTAGCTCAGCTGGTAGAGCATGGCGCTTGTAACGCCAAGGTAGTGGGTTCGAACCCTGGGACCACCCATACACAAAAAAAATGATGCACGCACGACTGTAAGTCGCTTTGGATAAAAGCGTCTGCTAAATGGCATATTATTATAGGTACCAATGGAGCGGGCTTAGTCGTAGTCAAGGGCACAGGCACAGGATCAGAGGACGGTAATCACTGGGGTAGACAAGCAGAGGATTAAGCAATTCGGGGAGTCAAACAACAAGGCACAGGTCGGATACACGGGTAATCAAAAACAACAAACTCACTCTCACTCTCACTCTCACTCTCACTCTCTCTCTCTCCTCTCTCTCTCTCTCTCTCTCTCTCTCTCTCTCTCTCTCTCTCTCTCTCTCTCTCTCTCTCTCGGAACAAAACGCTTAGCAAGTCACAAAGGAACAATACCTCGCGCCGACTGAGCTTCTGAGCACACCTTAAATCCTACACTAATTACTGCCAGGTGTGCTCAGAACTCAGGTGAACCAGATCGAGTCTGATGACTCCCCCTCTCTGTAGATCGGGGAAGTGTCAGACTCTGTCTAGACCCTGCCAACCCCCGATCCCTTACAATTATGAGTTGTGGTTTGATGATGCCCTCTGTCCAATTTCTCTAGATCTGCTTCCAACCGCTATATAAAGGACAGTTAATCTGTAAAATAAATCTGGATTAAATATGTTAATTAATTGATTAATGACTGTGAAATTATTTATTGTGTCTTTAGCCAATTCATGTATTGCAGTGAGGTCAACCCTAGCCAGTTGTTGGGTTTAGGATGAAGAGAGAGAGGGAGAGAGAAGGGGAGAGAGAGAGAGTGAGAGAGAAAGAGAGAGAAAGAGCTATGGAGAGAGAGAGAGAGAGAGAGAGAGAGAGAGAGAGAGAGAGAGAGAGAGAGAGAGAGGGAGAGAGAGAGAGAGAGAGAGAGAGCAATACAATTAGACCCAACCAAATCATGAAAAAACAAAAAGATAATTACTTGACAGTGGAAATAATTTACAAAAAAACAGAGCAAACTAGAATGCTATTTGGCCCTAAACAGAGAGTACACAGTGGCAGAATACCTGACCACTGTGACTGACCCAAAATTAAGGAAAGCTTTGACTATGTATAGACTCAGTGAGCATAGCCTTTTATTGAGAAAGGTCGCAGTTAGCAGACCTGGCTCTCAAGAGAAGACAGGCTATGTGCACACTGCCCACAAAATGAGGTGGAAACTGAGCTGCACTTCCTAACCTCCTGCCAAATGTATGACCATATTAGAGACACATATTTCCCTCAGATTACACAGACCCACAAAGTATTCAAAAACAAATCCAACTCCCATATCTATTGGGTGAAATACCACAGTGTGCAATCACAGCAGCAATATTTGTGACCTGTTGCCACAAGAAAAGGGCAACCAGTGAAGAACAAACACCATTGTAAATACAACCCATATTTATGTTTATTTTCCCTTTTGTACTTTAACTATTTGCACATCGTTACAACACTGTATATAGACATAATATCACATTTGAAATGTCTTTATTCTTTTGGAACTTGTGTGAGTGTAATGTTTACTGTTCATTTTTTATTCACTTTTGTTTATCTATTTCACTTGCTTTGGCAACGTAAACATATGTTTCCCATGCCAATAAAGCCCCATGAATTGAATTGAATTGAATTGAATTGAGATGCGTAGGCAGGGTTGGAGAGAGAGAGACAGCAGATCAACACTGTTTCTCTCTCCTTCACTCAGCCCAACCATTCCATACTGCACCCTGGTACAGTGGTTCCCAAACCTTTTCAGTTACTAAATTTTGCTCTCTGCCCGGAGTACCCCTGAACTACCCCCTCGTGTGCATTTTACCAGTAGGCCTCTGGTCTCATGAGTCTTCTCAAGTAACCCCTGTGGATAGGCCAAGTACCCCCAGCAGTCCTAGTACCCCTGGTTGGGAACCACTGCCCTATATACTGGTTAGTGGTGGAATACTTGGTATATATAGTGCTGTGCAGAGAAGTTAACAGGTTTGTATTCTAAACTTGCATTGTGACTTTGTGTTTGTCCTATGTGTGTTCATCATGTAGTCTTACTGTCTGACCTACTGTCCCCAGTCAGACATCATGGACGGTGAGAAGGGATAAAGTCCTAAGAGCTGAATAGATGTTGTATGATTCACCCAGCACATTTCAGTTACACCTCTGCTCTATAATGCAAAACCTCTCCTTTCGTAAATGGTTAGTGTCGGTTGGTGTCTTTGACTCAACTTTATTCCTCAGAAAGATAATACAAAGGGGCCGGACATAGATACCAAATGCCAAGTACAGTGTATTGACTTGTTTGAGTAATTTCTTTACAACTTATGTTACTAATTGTTATAACACTAATATGCATGTTACGGTTGACTTAGAAAACTATTGGTTATGGAATTGTTTGGTTGTTGTTCTATGAGTCTCTTGCACACCTATTCTGAAGAGAGAATGATGTCACCAACACCCGGGGGGAAAGGCACTGCTACACCTGCACTAAGATCTGTGCCATGACTCAGCACCTGCGCCCCCTTCCACCAGACCCCCCAATCCACTTCATTATCAACATCAATTGGTATCTTCCTAAAATAACACATTTCAAAGAGAGAGAGAGAGAGAGAGAGAGAGAGAGAGAGAGAGAGAGAGAGAGAGAGAGAGAGGAGAGAGAGAGAGAGAGAGAGAGAGAGAGGAGAGAGAGAGAGAGAGAGAGAGAGAGAGAGAGAGAGAGATGCTTTTAAATGCATAAATGGGAGGGAACAAGTGCACACTTGATTGTGTCTGTCAGTTGCAGCTTGAGTACCCTCAAACAACCCGATTCTTATGGGGATTCTCCCTTTGTAGGGAGACATGCTTTACTCATAGCTACATCTACATGTAACAGTACTGTACTATAAGTCCTGCAGAACTTGGCTTTGTCCCAAATGGCACGCTATTCCCTATATAGTGCTCTTTTTACCAGGCCCCTATGGGACCTGGTCAAAAGTAGTGCACTGGGTACTGGTCAAAAGTAGTGTATTAAATAAGATATAGGGTGCCATTTGGGACTCACTTTAGTGTCTCATAGAACAAACAACAACCAGCTTATTCCAGAACCAATCATTTTAATTGTCAACAGTAAAAGGCTGTGTTAAATGTATATTTAGTTCATTCAGGTATTTTACTGTAGTAGTGCCCTAGTTAATGGGTTGCTAGTGAATGTCCAGAGGCATTCAGTTGTTTAATGCCGGGATTTAATCCAAGGTGCATTGACAACAATCACACTTCACATGACTATTAAAGGTCATTTACGTTGAGCCAACATCTGCAGCACTTTGAATGCGATCTCTGCAAACATCAGTTAAATGTATTTTAATGAAATGCCGTTTTGTGGATAGTGCAGTGTGCTTGTCAACAACACACCTTTGATTGATTACCAGCCTTCGTGTGTCCAGGCAGACAGAGTAACAGTGGGATATACTAAACTATACAGTACCACAATGGGATATACACTATCAACATTCTGGATTAACACACTACAGTTAGAACAAGAATGGAGACAGTTACAGTGGGATATAAACGATCAATATTCTGGATTAACACACTACACTTATAACAAGAATGAGTTAATCTGAGATCTCTTTTATGGTTTATTAGGATACAATAATAAGCTTTTGCTATTAATCAAATCAAAACGGTCCGTTTTCTTCTTTACTTGCCAATGATCTTCTTTATCCAGACGTTGTACTTGCAGACATCCATGATGAGTGCCGCTGCAGAACATTCTTCACCAGTGTCATCAGCGATGAAGACACCATAGAGCTGGTTCTTATACACCACACCTGCCCCAGAGTCACCTCTACAGGTTTCCACTCCAACACGTTGTGCACAGAAGATGTCTTGATGGGATTTTGCCATGGAGGCGTCATATTTCATAACATCCAGCTCTGCACAATGTAGGACTTTGGTGTTGGCAGCAGCAGGTGCTTCAGCAGCAGGTTCCCCAGCAGCAGGTTCCCAAGCATCCGGTGCAGCAGGTGTAGTGGCAGCATAACCTGCAATATGAACTGTTTGAAACTCTTCTGGTTTGGATGTCTTCCCCCGAAATTTGGTCAAAAACTGTGCACAATCACCAAGAGGGATTGGACCAATCCCAATTCCTGGTGAAGGGTACCATGAGTTTTATGGTGCTTTCAAGACAACTGGGAACTCAGAAAAATACGAGGTCAACTCGTGACATCAGTGATTTTCAGGTTGGAATGTCGGAGCTCTAGAAAGAGGCCTGAATTCCCGAGTTGGAATTTCGAGTTGGATGACCGTTCAAAAAGATGCTTCCCAGTCGGAGCTAATTTTTTTCTGAGTTCCCAATTGTCTTGAACGCACTGAAGTCGGAAGTCGGAGATTTCCGAGTTCCCAGTTTCGAGTTCCCAGTTGTTTTGAATGCTTCATTAATGCTCGAGGCAGACGGCAGGGTATTCCCTTTGAGTCAGGAACCAAAACTCCTCTGTAGTGACCTGTGAATGCATTCGGTCACATGACTGCTCGTTCAGCTGTTCGATTTCACTTACCGGCATGGTCAACTGAGCCAGGATCACGGTCAAACGGATTGGGAAGTAGGTCCCAAAGTGCTCTTCCAAGCATTGGAGGTGAGCAGTCATCACTCATGTGGGACACTTACTGATGCTGTTTTCTGTTAGAAACATGCACAGCCGAGCGAAGGAGGCATGGGTTCACTTTTTAAAGACGCCCTCTCCAATAAGAGTTATTTCCTCTGAATCCACTGATTCGGTCACTCATCTGTAGAATGTTTTTGTATTTCCCCTGCAGGCTTGCGTTCAGTTCTTTCAGTTTCTAAAATATTTTTGTTACATAGGCAAGGAGACACATTCTCTTTTCATTACACAGAAAGCCAACCAAGTCTGTTTTATTTTGTTTTTTTTCATCCATTGTGAATGACAACTGTTCCTCTCTCAATGCAAAAAATGTGTCCAACACTCGCCCTCGATAACCACCAAGCATCGGTATGAAATAGAACATTGTCAGGCTTTGATCCCATATCTCCACATAGTTTTGCGAACAGTGGATGTGGTTTGATGTAGTTTACAATCCAAGTTACCTGCTGCAGTATATGTCCGAGTTCTGTGCTCTGCCAGTTGCTCTCGGTGCATCATACAATGCGTCCATATGGCAGAGGGAGACACGTTCATAACTAGAGTGCAGAGGCCTGCCCGTCGTCCCGCCATAGATGGAGCCCCATCTGTGAAAAAGCCCACCATTCGATCCCATGGAATCTGTTTTTTGTATATAGCCACGAGCACACTGAACATCCCCTGTGCCCGTTCATGCTCGTGAATCGTGAGACAGAACAATATGTCCTTGTGAGTAGCATCCCCCGACATGTATAGCGAACAAAGTCATTAGATGGGTATCTCGGCCCTCACAGTTAACGTCCATTTGGAGAGCATAAGCTGGGACGTTTTTGAGTCGTTCAGTCAGTTTCCTCTTGATTGTTGGCAATAGCATAAATTATTAGTTTAACAGTGTTATCTGACAAAGGTGTTGATGTGAGTTTCTGTGCCTCTGCCTCCCCACACATTGTTTTCACCATATCAATTGTGGCTGGTAATATCAGAGTCTCTGCAATGGTGTGTTGTTTCATAGCGTAGCAGGCCTAGCCATTCACCGTGGGAATGATTTAAGTGCAATGGTCAAGTGCGGCCTTTTCCCATTATCTAAGGGCCCTTTTTTAGATTTGAATAATTTTCATTTACATTTTTAAGGTTAACCACATTACAATGATATTGAGATACAAAGAAAATATTATAATATATATTTTTGTAAATACAGTATGTCAAAAGTTTGGACACTTTCCAGGGTTTTCTTTATTTTTACTATTTTCTACATTGTAGAATAATAGTGAAGACATCAAAACTATGAAATAACACATGGAATCATGCAGTAACCAAAAAATTATTCTACAAATGAGATTCTTCAAAGTAGCCACCCTTTGCCTTGATGACAGCTTTGCACACTCTTGGCATTCTCTCAACCAGCTTCATGAGGTAGTCACCTGGAATGCATTTCAATTAACAGGTGTGCCTTGTTAAAAGTTAATTTGTGGAATTTATTTCCTTCTTAATGCGTTTGAGCCAATCAGTTGGGTTGTGACAAGGTAGGGTTGGTATACAGAAGATAGCCCTATTTGGTAAAAGACCAAGTCCATATTATGGCAAGAACAGCTCAAATAAGCAAAGAGAAATGACAGTCCATCATTACTTTAAGACATGAAGGTCAGTCAATCTGGAAGATTTCAAGAACTTTGAACGTTTCTTCAAGTGCAGTCGCAAAAACCATCAAGTGCTATGATGAAACTGGCTCTCATGAGGACCGCCACAGGAAAGGAAGACCCAGAGTTACCTCTGCTGCAGACGATAAGTTCATTAGAGTTACCAGCCTCAGAAATCGGCAATTAACTGCCCAAATAAATGCTTCATAGAGTTCAAGTAACAGACACCTCTCAACATCAACTGTTCAGAGGAGATGGTTTGGGATGAGTCAGATGGCAGAATGAAAGAAAAGCAGCCAACAAGTGCTCAGCATATATGGGAACTCCTTCAAGACTGTTGGAAAAGCATTCCAGGTGACTACCTCATGAAGCTGGTTGAGAGAATGCCAAGAGTGTGCAAAGCTGTCATCAAGCAAAGGGTGGCTATTTGAAGAATCTCAAATATAAAATATATATTTGTTTAACATCTTTTTGGTTACTACATGATTCCATATGTGTTATTTCATAGTTTTGATGTCTTCACTTTTATTCTACAATGTAGAAAATAGTAAAAAATAAAGAAAAACCCTGGAATGAGTAGTTGTGTCCAAACTTTTGACTGGTACTGTATATATACAGTGAGGGAAAAAAAAGTATTTGATCCCCTGCTGATTTTGTACGTTTGCCCACTGACAAAGAAATGATCAGTCTATAATTTTAATGGTAGGTTTATTTTAACAGTGAGAGACAGAATAACAACATCGAAAAACAGAAAAACGCATGTCAAAAATGTTATAAATTGATTTGCATTTTAATGAGGGAAATAAGTATTTGACCCCCTCAATCAGAAAGATTTCTGGCTCCCAGGTGTCTTTTAAACAGGTAACGAGCTGAGATTAGGAGCACACTCTTAAAGGGAGTGCTCCTAATCTCAGTTTGTTACCTGTATAAAAGACACCTGTCCACAGAAGCAATCAATCAATCAGATTCCAAACTCTCCACCATGGCTAAGACCAAAGAGCTCTCCAAGGATGTCAGGGACAAGATTGTAGACCTACACAAGGCTGGAATGGGCTACAAGACCATCGCCAAGCAGCTTGGTGAGAAGGTGACAACAGTTGGTGCGATTATTCGCAAATGGAAGAAACACAAAAGAACTGTCAATCTCCCTCGGCCTGGGGCTCCATGCAAGATCTCACCTCGTGGAGCTGCAATGATCATGAAAACGGTGAGGAATCAGCCCAGAACTACACGGGAGGATCTTGTCAATGATCTCAAGGCAGCTGGGACCATAGTCACCAAGAAAACAATTGGTAACACACTATGCCGTTGTTACGGATACAGGTATCCTGTGTTTTTGTGTGTTTCTCTCCTTCTGCCCTAATCACAGGTGTCCTGTATGTTCCTGATTGGTGGTCGTTGAGGTGTCTGCTGATTGGACCAATCAGGGAACATTCCTGTGAATAGCACCACCTGTTACTCGTTTGTTGAATCACACAGCCCATTGTATAAAAACCAGTCTTGTGTTTGTTGAGAGAGAGAGAGATTTTTGCCATATGTGAGTATGGACACGGTGGTGTCCTGTGTGTTGTGTACTCACTAAGTTGTTGGTTACCCTATTGGTAACTTTGTTAGAAGCCATTTCTTTATGTGAGTGTGGATACTGTGGTGTCCTGTGTATTGTGTACGTACTTTGTTGCTGATTACCCTGTTTGGTAGCTTTGTGTGTTTCTGGGAAAAGGGGAGTTTAAGCTAGTTGCCCTTGGGCGTACATTACCCGTAGGAAGAATTCTGTCTAAAAACACTAGTTAGACCTGAGCGGACCACCCACTGTACTTTTGTATGACTAGCAGTAGCCTAGCGGTTCTTCAGGCAGGCTAGATCAGTTTAGGGGGTTTTACACTATTGTTTCATTTCTTGGGTCCTGCTCAGCCCTTTTTCCCAAACCTTTACCGTGTGTTTAGTAATAAACCATTTGTGTTTGACGGTAGTTCATGGTTGTTGTGTCACATTTGTTCTCACTGCTCCATGCCACACTACTAATTTGCATAATTTATGTTACGGGTCTCATGTCCATCCACCCTAGACGTTTAGAGCCACGGGGTTCGTAACATAAAGTGGGGGCTCGTCTGGGATACTATCTATCCCATGTACTCATGTAAAGTAGTAAGTGTCTGGTTCAGTGTTGAGCTTGGCAGCTGTAACTACCTGTTTTTTTTTTGTTCAGTAGTCGACGGCTCGTGTTGCTAGTAGGATGGCTACTTTTGAGTTAGAGGCATTTTTGGAAAACCCTACGTGGGAGGTTTTTGAGAATTGCCGTAGAGTGGATCTACAGGCTTTGGCTGACCACTTTTCAGTACCGATATCAAGGGTTTTAGTGAAAGCCGAAGTGAGGAAAGCGGTGTTAGAAATATTGTTGAGCGAGCGAGTGCTTGAGTTACCGCCGCCTGAGTCTGCTGCTCCTGTAGGGGATGTGGTTGCTGATCCTGTAAGCCCATCAGTGTCTGAGGACGAGACTAAGGCTCCAGCCACATTGCCCCGTTATGACCCACTCTCCCCACTGACTGACAGTGATGCCAGGATCGATGTCCGCTCGACACGGCTCCAAATGGAGGCGGAAGAGCGGGCACAAATCAGGCAAGACAAGCTGGAGATGCGTAAAATGGAGCTAGAGGCAGAACAGGAGACGCGTAAGCTAGAGGCAGAACAGGAGACGCGTAAGCTAGAGGCAGAACAGGAGACGCGTAAGCTAGAGGCAGAACTGGAGACGCGTAGGCTTGATCAAGAACTGGAGACGCGTAAGATGGAACTGGAGATGCGTAAAATGGAACTAGAGGCAGAAACAGCGAGGTTAGTCTCTGCTCATACTATGCCTGCTAGTGAGCCATCCTCACCAGCTGTGTCATCTGCTACGTTTGATATTAGTAGGCAGATCACCTTGGTACCTGTGTTCAGGGAGTCAGAGGTTGATTCCTATTTCAGTGTGTTTGAACGTATAGCGGTAGCATTGAAATGGCCCGAAGAGGTATGGTGCCTATTACTTCAGTGTAAGCTAACAGGTAAAGCCCAAGAGGTTCTGGCAGCGCTACCTCTTGAAGACAGTTTGAATTATGAAGTGGTCAAAGCTACTGTTCTTCGTGCCTATGAGCTTGTTCCTGAGGCATATCGACAGAGATTTAGGTCTCATAAAAAGTATCCTACTCAGACTTATGTGGAGTTTGCTAGAGACAAAGGAAATATGTTTGACAAATGGCACAGTGCTAGTAAGGTAACTGATTTTAACTCCCTACGGGAGTTAATCTTGTTAGAAGAGTTTAAAAATTGCTTACCGGAACGCATTGTAGTTTATCTGAACGAACAGAAAGTATCCTCACTGTCGGAAGCGTCTGTATTGGCAGACGAGTTTGTGTTGACGCATAAGAGCGTGTTTTCAGCTCGTACGGAGAGCAGGGCTGCGGAGTTGCTAACTTTTAGTCCTAGTCGACCAGCAGTACATCCAGCACGCCCAAAAGATGTGCGTCACTGTTTCTATTGTCATAAGGTGGGACATATGGTTAATGATTGCTTTCTGCTAAAACGCAAACCGGGGATGCCTCAGCACGCCAGGCCGCCAACGGGTGTTGGGCTGATTCGTACGGTTGTAAGGCCGGAAGCAAGACAGAAGCCTCATAGTGAATGTGGTTTGAAAGTCCCTGTCCCAGATCACAGTTATGAACCATTCATTTTTGAGGGGTTTGTTTCTATATCAGATGATGAAGCGTCTCGGCGTCCAGTTAGAATCCTCAGAGATACTGGTGCGGCGCAGTCGTTCATACTATCTGATGTGTTGCCCTTGTCCAATAATACATATTGTGGTTCCAGTGTGTTAGTACAAGGAATTGAAATGGGTTTCGTCCCAGTGCCATTGCACTTTGTGAACGTACACTCTGAGTTAGTCAGTGGATTGTTCAGAGTTGGCGTACGTCCTATGTTGCCAGTAAAAGGTGTGACATTTATAATGGGCAACGATATTGCCGGAGGAAAGGTGATACCCGTATTGGAGGTATTGGATAAAAGTGACCAGTCTCTCTCCGAGGAGCTGGCACAGGGTTATCCAGATGTGTTCCCCGCTTGTGCTGTCACACGTGCTCAAGCACGACAAGTGGGTGAAGTGGTAGATTTGTCAGACACGATTCTATTCAGAGAGTGTGACCCAGAGGATAGTTCGGGTGCTACCTCTGGTAAGCTGGTGCAGTCTGACCAACAGCCCAGAGAAAGGAAGAAGGATGTGGAACTTGTTGCTGAGGCAATACAGTTACCAGTTACTCGTGAGCAGCTGATCGCTAACCAACAGGTTGACATTAGCCTGGCTAAATGTTTTTCTAGTGTTGTCTCAGAGGACGAGCTAAAGAAGAAAAACATGGCATACTTCATTGATGGTAATCTCCTCATGCGTAAATGGACATCCCATGTTGACGCTGTCGAAGATTGGAATGCTGTTTACCAAATAGTGATTCCTACAGCCTTTCGACAAAATGTTTTATCCCTCGCTCATGATCACCAGTGGTCCGGACATCTGGGAGTCACCAAGACTTATGATCGAGTTTTGCGACATTTCTTTTGGCCTGGCTTAAAACAAGATGTGGCTCAGTTCTGTCGGACTTGCCACACCTGTCAAGTAGTTGGGAAACCGAACCAGGTTATTTCCCCCGCGCCTCTTTGTCCCATACCGGCCATAGGTGAACCCTTCGAACATGTGATGGTTGATTGTGTTGGACCATTACCAAAAACAAAATCTGGTAACCAGTTTATGTTGACAATTATGTGTGTGGCCACCAGGTACCCAGAGGCCATTCCTCTGCGAAGGATTACTGCTCCGGTGGTGAGTAAAGCGTTGATCAAATTCTTCTCAACTTTTGGATTACCTAAGGTGATACAAACTGATCAGGGTACGAATTTCCTTTCTAAACTTTTCAAACAAGTGTTAAAATCCTTGTCAGTTACCCACCGTGTGTCAAGCGCATATCACCCAGAGTCTCAGGGTGCGCTTGAACGTTGGCATCAGACCCTGAAGTCTATGCTCCGTAAATATTGCTTGGAATCTGAGAAAGATTGGGATGAGGGAGTTCCTCTAGTGTTGTTTGCTGTCCGTGAGACAGTACAGGAATCCCTAGGGTTCAGCCCAGCTGAACTGGTGTTTGGACACACCATGAGAGGACCTATGAAAGTCCTTAAGGATCAGTTTTTGTCACAAGAGTTGTGTGTGAAAGAAAATGTGTTGGACTACGTTAGTCGCTTTCGTGAGCGCCTACATGCTGCCTGTGCTATAGCAAAGGAAGCACTGTCTTCCTCACAGAAATGGATGAAACGACACTATGACACACAGGCTGTTTCTCGTTCACTGCAGCCAGGTGATCAAGTTCTTGTATTATTGCCTGTGCCAGGAGCGTCATTGTCAGCACGTTTCTCTGGTCCTTATGTCATTGAAAAGAAACTAAGTGAAACTGACTACGTGATACAGACTCCTGATAGAAAACGCCAATCTCGTGTGTGCCACGTTAACATGTTGAAGACATACCACACCAGACCCGTCACTCAGGTAGACAGTCCAGAGAAACTGGCCGAGTCGGCTGTCTCTGTTGCTGCTACGGCTGTAGTGGGAGGTCATGCTAATGATGTGGACGGAGATGGTTTGGAGTTGCGCAATACTCAGCAGCAGTGTGCTAGATTGCCCAATTCAGAGATGCTGCTGTCTCTCCCATCAAGCCTGATTCATTTAACGGACAGACAGTCAGATGATATTGTGAGACTATTACACAGCTTTCCATGTCTTTTTAATGATGTTCCTACATGTACAAATGTGTTAGAACATGACATTAATGTTGGAAACGCTGCACCTATCAAGCAACATCCTTATCGTGTCAACGTCGCTAAGAGAAAGATAATGAGGGGTGAGGTCGGTTATTTGCTGGAGAATAACCTGGCTATGCCAAGTTCAAGTCCTTGGAGTTCTCCGGTGCATTCTGGTTCCTAAACCTGATGGGACATCCAGATTATGTACGGACTATCGGAAAGTCAATGCTGTCACAGTGCCCGACTCGTTCCCGTTACCCAGACTGGATGACTGTATTGATACTGTTGGTGCTGCTACTTATGTAACCAAACTAGATCTTCTAAAAGGTTACTGGCAGGTGCCATTAACCCCACGTGCCTCCGACATCTCTGCCTTTGTGACCCCAGATCACTTCCTGCAATATGCTGTCATGGCATTTGGGATGCGGAACGCCCCAGCCACTTTCCAACGCCTGGTTAACACAGTATTGGCTGGAGTTCCTAATTGTAGTGCTTACCTTGATGATCTGGTAATTTATTCAACTGAGTGGTCTGATCATGTTAACACTCTAAGGGTAGTGTGTGAACGTCTAGCAACCGCTTCTCTAACCCTGAACTTAGCAAAGTGCGAGTTTGGGAAGGCCACTGTTACTTATCTTGGTAAACAGGTCGGCCATGGTCAGGTGCGCCCTGTAGATGCCAAGGTCTCGGCTATAAACGCATTTCCCGCACCTACCACCAGAAGAGAGCTCCGCCGCTTTTTAGGGATGGTTGGCTACTACCGTAGTTTCTGTAAAAATTTCTCTGCGGTAGTTGCTCCATTAACGGATTTGCTCAGTCCGGCGAGAAAATTTGTATGGTCTGAAGATTGTAGTACTGCTTTCAACACTGCTAAAGCACTCTTATGTAGTACTCCTGTTCTTGCTGCGCCAGATTTTGAACGACCGTTTAAACTGGAGGTAGATGCAAGTGCCAGAGGTGCTGGTGCTGTTCTACTGCAGCAAGACCAGAGTGGAGTGGACCATCCTGTCTGTTATTTTTCACGGAAATTTAACAAATGTCAGACAAACTATTCCACCATTGAACAAGAAGCTCTAGCTTTGTTGTTAGCTCTGCAGTACTTTGAAGTTTATGTTGGTTCCAGTGCATTACCAGTGATAGTGTATACTGATCATAACCCCTTAGTTTTTCTCCACCGGATGTACAACCAGAACCAACGCCTTATGCGTTGGGCACTTGTCGTGCAAAATTATAATTTGGAGATCCGCCACAAAAAGGGGTTGGATAATGTGTTGGCAGATGCTTTGTCTCGTGTTTGATGATCTAGGTTTTTTGTGTTATCCCGGCAGGATGATTATTGAAATTTTGGGTGTTGTGATAGTACGTGTGTCGCAAACCATTTTGGTTTGCTCTTTTAAGGGTGGGAGTGTTACGGATACAGGTATCCTGTGTTTTTGTGTGTTTCTCTCCTTCTGCCCTAATCACAGGTGTCCTGTATGTTCCTGATTGGTGGTCGTTGAGGTGTCTGCTGATTGGACCAATCAGGGAACATTCCTGTGAATAGCACCACCTGTTACTCGTTTGTTGAATCACACAGCCCATTGTATAAAAACCAGTCTTGTGTTTGTTGAGAGAGAGAGAGATTTTTGCCATATGTGAGTATGGACACGGTGGTGTCCTGTGTGTTGTGTACTCACTAAGTTGTTGGTTACCCTATTGGTAACTTTGTTAGAAGCCATTTCTTTATGTGAGTGTGGATACTGTGGTGTCCTGTGTATTGTGTACTTACTTTGTTGCTGATTACCCTGTTTGGTAGCTTTGTGTGTTTCTGGGAAAAGGGGAGTTTAAGCTAGTTGCCCTTGGGCGTACATTACCCGTAGGAAGAATTCTGTCTAAAAACACTAGTTAGACCTGAGCGGACCACCCACTGTACTTTTGTATGACTAGCAGTAGCCTAGCGGTTCTTCAGGCAGGCTAGATCAGTTTAGGGGGTTTTACACTATTGTTTCATTTCTTGGGTCCTGCTCAGCCCTTTTTCCCAAACCTTTACCGTGTGTTTAGTAATAAACCATTTGTGTTTGACGGTAGTTCATGGTTGTTGTGTCACATTTGTTCTCACTGCTCCATGCCACACTACTAATTTGCATAATTTATGTTACGGGTCTCATGTCCATCCACCCTAGACGTTTAGAGCCACGGGGTTCGTAACAGCCGTGAAGGACTGAAATCCTGCAGCGCCCGCAAGGTCCCCCTGCTCAAGAAAGCACATATACAGGCCTGTCTGACGTTTGTCAATGAACATCTGAATGATTCAGAGGAGAATTGGGTGAAAGTGTTGTCGTCAGATGAGACCAAAAACTCAACTCGCCGTGTTTGGAGGAGGAGGAATGCTGCCTATGACCCCAAGAACACCATCCCCACCGTCAAACATGGAGGTGGAAACATTATGCTTTGGGGGTGTTTTTCTGCTAAGGGGACAGGACAACTTCACCGCATCAAAGGGACGATGGACGGGGCCATGTACCGTCAAATCTTGGGTGAGAACCTCCTTCCCTCAGCCAGGGCATTGAAAATGGGTCGTGGATGGGTATTCCAGCATGACAATAACCCAAAACACACGGCCAAGGCAACAAAGGAGTGGCTCAAGAAGAAGCTAATTAAGGTCCTGGAGTGGCCTAGCCAGAGGGAGTTGAAGGTTCGAGTTGCCAAACGTCAGGCTCGAAACCTTAATGAGTTGGAGAAGATCTGCAAAGAGGAGTGGGACAAAATCCCTCCTGAGATGTGTGCAAACCTGGTGGTTAACTACAAGATACGTCTGACCTCTGTGATTGCCAACAAGGGTTTTGCCACCAAGTACTAAGTCATGTTTTGCAGAGGGGTCAAATACTTATTTCCCTCATTAAAATGCAAATCAATTTATAACATTTTTGACATGCTTTTTCTGGATTTTTTTGTTGTTATTCTGTCTCTCACTGTTCAAATAAACCTACCATTAAAATTATAGAATGATCATGTCTTTGTCAGTGGGCAAACGTACAAAATCAGCAGGGGATCAAATACTTTTTTCCCTCACTGTATATATATATATATATATATATATTATTTATTTTTTAAAGGTTTTTTGAAATTCTCCCGTGACTCCATTTTCATATCAGGCGACCCCACATGGTGTTGCGACCCCTAGTTTGGGAGCTGCTGTGTTAGTTTATCATTATTCACGATTCATTCATGATTATCTGTAATCATGGTAGCATCCACATTAATGTAGAAGTGTTCAGAAAACGATTATATTCTTATTTAAAATAAAAGTTACTCCAAAATTACACTACATTATATACCATTCATTTCTATTGGGCACAACATAATCTGAAACACAACCAAAACAAACAAGTTTGTAGAGTCGTAAGCTTGATGTGGTCATTGCGTGATAGGAATACGGGACCAAATACTAAAGGTTGAACTAAATGTAATACACTACAAGTGAATTAGTCCAAATACTTATGACACCTTCAAATGGGGAGACTGGTAAATAAAGTGTATTCATTTCTAAATGCCAAAACGGATAGGCATATGTATGAAAATACCCTCAAATAGAAGGTTGCATTCTGTACTGTCACCTCATATAAAACATTTGATCTCAAATCCAAAATGCTGGAGAATAGCCAAATTAAAAGTTTTAGCTTCACTGTTCAAATAAATACGTAAATAGCCTACTCTCTCTCTCTCTCGCTCTCTCTCGCACACACGCCGTGACCCTATTGACCATTGTGGTTTATCTCGTTATTGCAGCAGCCCCCGTTAAACCGGAGCCTGGTTACTTGGATACCCGACCGGGATGCTGCTCTTGCGACGTGCGTGAGCTGAAATGTAGCAAATCTCAGTTCAGACAATGAGTTAATATGATCGTTCTTCAGTGATATTGAAAGTTATTATCTAATTCACCAATAATTATTACTATTGTTACTTTGTTATAGCCTACATTTTGTTAATGTGATTGATCTCGTCAGCCTTTCTGCAATTGGGAAAGTCGGGATAGCCAAACAAGACCATAGCAAGAATTTGAAGAAGGGTGAGTTGTTTTTTCGTACAATTATTTCAACTTGTGGACAAAGATCCTAACGAATTCGATACGAAATTGATACATCACAGTCATTGATCAATAATATTCTGGCATTTTATATTTAACAATATAGATATACTTATTAGGCTACATTAGGCTATGTCATGTTATGTTTTATTTTCTTTCTGTGATGTTTGTCAAAGCATCAAGCGTGCGCATGCAAAAAAATATACTGCATGGTTCTCATGGTTATAGTTGGTTCCCATGCAGTAAATGCAAGTGTTCTTGCAGGACGTTTGTATGTTAACCTCATCGCAAACACAATAAGCATCTCATCATCATCTTAATCACCATCATAATTTTGCATCACCCTCCTCTTCCTCCTCCTCCTCTTCCTCCTCACTCCTCCCATAACATCCCTATAGTACAGCGTCTAAAAATAAAATTGTGTGCATCCCTAATATCATAGGCTACAGAGTTCTGGCAGGCAGAGAATGACTGATTGGCCCAAATCATAGCCCTGCAATCCACACAGTCAGCCAGTCAATCAGCCAGCCATCAGTCAGCCAGCCAGCCAGCCAGTCAGACAGTCAACCAATCAGTCAGCCAGTCACACAGTCAGACAGTCAGCCAGCCAGAAAGATAGTTAGTCAGACAGACAGTAAGTCAGGCAGCCAGCCAGCCAGCCACAGTCAGACAGTGTTTCAGTCAGTCAGCCTGTCAGACAGTTAGCAAGTCAGTCAGCCAGTCAGCCAGTAAATCAGCCAGCCAGTCAGACAATCAGCAAGTCAGTCAGTCAGAAACACAACCAAAACAAACACGTTTGTAGAGTCATAAGCTTGATGTAGTCATAGCATGTTAGGAATACGGGACCAAATACTAAACTTTTGACTAAATGTAATACACTGTGAATTAGTCCAAATACTTATGACACCTTCAAATGGGGAGACTGGTACATAAAAGTGCTTTAATATCTAAATGGCAAAACGGATAGACCTATGTATGAAAATACCCTCAAATAGATATGTATACTATCACCTCATATAAAACATTTGATCTCAAATCCAAAATGCTGGAGAATAGCCAAATTAAAAGTTTTAGCTTCACTGTCCAAATAAATATGTATAGGGGAGTGTATCAGAGATAAATAGTCTATTCTCTCTATCTTTCTCTCACTCCCTCTCGCTCTCTCTCTCTCGCGCACACACGCTGTGACCCCATTGACCATTGTGGTTTATCTCGTTATCGCAGCCCCAGTTAAACCTGAGACTGGTTACTTAGATACCCGACCGGGATGCTGCTCGTGCCCGTGCACGTGCTGAAATGTAGCAAATCTTAGTTCAGACAATCAGTTGATATGATCGTTCTTCAGTGATAGTGAACGTTATTACCTAATTCACCAATAATAGTTATTGTTGTTACTTTGTTATAGCCTATATTTTGTTAATGTGATTGAGCTCGTTAGCTTTTTGCAACTGGGAAAGTCGGGATAGCCTAATAAGACCATAGCAAGAATTGGGTCAGTAGTATTTTTCGTATTTCAACTTTTGAATATAGATCGTAACTCACTCACTCACTCACTGGAAGAATCTCAATTGAGACAAGTGAGACACGGGTGCCGGCCTGCGTAGATGGAAACAGAAATGTCTGAGTCTATTTGGTGAAACACCAGGATAAATCCTCAATGGAATCTTCGCATCAGTCAGCCACTCCCTCACTCAATCACTCTCTCAATCAGCCAGGCAGTCAGTCAGTCAGTGACCCTCCTCTTCCCATTCATCTACATTAGTACACATCTGTTCCTATATACAGACTGAGTGCTCAGAGAGACAGAACCAACAGTGAGATATAGTAATACACACCCTGCCCTCACTCTCCTTCACTGCAATTAGCAGTTCTGTTCTGTTCTCTCTCTCTCTCTCTCTCTCTCTCTCTCTCTCACTCTCTCTCTCTCTCTCTCTCTCCCTCCTTTCTCCTCCCCTCTCTCCCCCTTTCTTTCTCTCTCTCTCCCCTCCCTCCCCTCTCTCTCTCCCCTCCCTCCCCTCTCCCCTCCCTCCCCTCTCTCACCCCCCTCCCTCCGTTGAGGTTATTTATTCTCTCCATCCAGCCCAACCAACCTCTTAGCGGCCCTTGTTTCCATCCGCTGCTCGATTGGCCAATCTGGCCCCCATTCAAATGTGTGTGTTTGTTCTGCTTCACTTCAACTGAGGTGTTCTGTCATGTGACGTAGGGACATGTCATGTTAAGCGCAGTTATGTTGGCCATCTGGGAATTCATATAACGGTGTTGTAACAGCCTATCTTGTCTTATTGACAGACTTAAGTCTTGAACTATTGATAGTTCATGTTTGGTGTCTCATTAAATCAGTAAAGCCAAAATAAGTATTTGTAAAAAAGAATTGTCATTTAGCAGACACTCTTATCCAGAGCGACTTACAGTTAGTGAGTGCATAGATTTTCATACTGGCCCCCTGTGGGAAACGAACCCACAACCCTGGCGTTACAAGCGCCATTTTCTACCAACTGAGCTACAGGACACACACACACACACACACTCACGCACCCACACACACATACACAGCCCTGATTGCCTAATGCCCTTTCTGCTCAATGGAACGTCCTTCTCTACCCAGACCAATTTATTGGCCACTAGGGAATGATACTGTGACTGTCTAAATCCTCTGTGCGTGTATGTGTCCAAATGCTCTAGTCCCAATCCCCCTATCACCCAGTCAGGCAGGCACAGACCCTCAACCTCTCAAATTACAGGACTAAAGCTTTGTTTCAATTAAATGGTCAGGTGTGGCATAGACAAATGTAAAGTGATAGCACGTCGGGAGACAACTTCCATCAATATTCTCTAGGAGAATGGTAATAACAGGAGAATGGTAATAACAGGAGAATGGTAATAACAGGAGAATGGTAATAACAGGAGAATCATAATAACAGGTGAATCATAATAACGGGAGAATCATAATAACAGGAGAAACCTAATAACAGGAGAATCATAATAACATGAGAATCATAATAACAGGAGAATCATAATAACAGCAGAATCGAAATAAACAGGAGAATCATAATAACAGGAGAATCGTAATAACAGGGGAATTGTAATAACAGGAGAAACGTAATAACAGGAGAATGGTAATAACAGGAGAATGGTAATAACAGGAGAATGGTAATAACAGGAGAATCATAATAACAGGAGAATCATAATAACAGGAGAATCATAATAACGAGAATCATAATAAGAGGATAATCGTAATAACAGGAGAATCATAATAACAGGAGAATCGTAATAACAGGAGAATCGTAATAACAGGAGAATCATAATAACTGGAGAATCTAAATAACAGGAGAATCACAATAACAGGAGAATCGTAATAACAGGAGAATCGTAATAACAGGAGAATCGTAATAACAGGAGAATCATAATAACAGGCGAATCATAATAACAGGAGAATCATAATAACAGGAGAATCATAATAACAGGAGAATCATAATACGGAGAATCGTAATAACAGGAGAATCATAATAACAGGAGAATCATAATAACAGGCTTAACTCTGGATGAATCAATGGTCACACAAACACAAGCATGTGCGCTCAACCACCCGTCTGCACACACACACATGCACACAGTCAATCCCATCCCCAAGGACCATACGGCCTTATTCAAATGAACTATTAGACATGGAAGTAGAGGGTTTGCTAAACTAGTAAGCTAAGACCACAGGATATTGGGATGAGTTTGACTCTAAGGGGTAATCCGGGATTCACACGACATACAAAGTAGAAAGATGGCTGTACCAATCGCACATTTCCCCTTTAAGACAATTCAGGGATCAGGGTAAAACTTTGTTCTAAGGTTTGATCTGACCTGTTTATGGAATTAAATGTCCATGTTGGTTTTGATCTAGCAAACCTCGAATCAGGGCTTCGTGAGGCCTTTGTGCTTATTCAATTCTGCTGCTTTGTAGAAAGAAAAAATGTTTTATTAAATTAAATCTACCTCGTCCTGCACTTCCAAACCTGCATTGGAGGAAACAGTGAAATCGGTTGCAGTTTGCCCACTTAGAGAGGTGTGTGTGTGTGTGTATCCATGCATTTGTGTCTGTGACAGGTTTGTCATTTCTAACAACCCAATTTCCCCTTTTAACCCTTTACTGCAGTGCGCTAAATCAGGGTCACACAGAGTGTTTTTTGGTGATCTTAAACAAATCTACTTTGAAACAAACACCTCACACACATGGTTATGGTCTTACAGAAAATAAGACACCTGTACCATGTCAGATATACAGCTGAAATGGATTCAATTTTGAGTTTGCATTCCAATATTACACTTTATATACATCACAGAAGACTGAAATAAAACAAAACCGTTTGACAAAGAAACACCAGATTTTCGGCGGCTTTTTAAAAATAATGTTTATTATTTATGAAATTATGAACAATATTAATAACATTCCACCCATGAGGCCACTAGGTCATTTGGCAGCAGGAAAGGGCTACAAGTAAACTGTGTGTGTATATCAGTAACCCTCTCTATAGAAGTCTGACCCTCTCTCTCTTTCTCTCTCTCTTTCTTTCTCTCTCTCTCATTCTCTCTCCAAGCTGCATTAGTCTCCTCTCTACACCAGTATTCCTCAACAGTAGTACAGATGCCATTATTCCAGCCTTCCACCTACCTCAACCAAACAGATGGATAAAATGGGAATAGCAGAATGACAGTTGTCTTGCGTCACAAATGGCACCCTATTCCCTATAGTGCACTACTTTTGACCAGGGCCCATAGGGTTCCAGTTAAAAGTATGTAGTGAATAGGGTGCCCTTTGGGATTCGTCCAGCTATTGTAATGCCATACCATGACAAGATGTCCATCCATTAATCTTATCCCTCCCCCTCCAATTTGTTCCAAATGGGTAATGTTGCACCTTTTGATCGGGACCCGTGTCGCCATGGTAACAAAGTTCCAGGAACACGGCTCTGTAGAGAGAGATTGGCCTCTGTTTTTAATGTGGCTTGTAGAGATTAGGCTACTAGCTATTGTGCCAGTTGTGCAATGGATCCCCCTAAAAATAGGCAGAAGGCGTATGGTTGTGTGTGTGTTTCTGTGTGTGTGTGTGTGTGTGCGTGCGTTTAATATTTGAGTGGAGGTGAAGTTAGAAAAGGCTTTTAGGGAGAATCCTTCCCACCCCATGTTCTATCTGTGTAGTGTGAAGTGGTGTTATATGTCCTGAAGTGTGTGTGGTGTGTGTGTGTGTTGTGTGGTGTGTGTGTGGTGTGTGTGTTGTGTGTGTGTGTGTGTGTGTGTGCGCTGTGTGTGTGTGTCTGTGTGTGTGTCCGATAATAAGCACTGAGGTCTGTTGATAGAGCGGTGCAGCTTTATTGCTGAAAGTTTAGAGAATTTTACATTTTGTGGTCGTGTCTTCCAAGTTGTTTCCGTGGGTCGTAAATAGCTGAATTAGCATGACACGAGCTGAATTAACTGTGAAAGGCTTTGACAATAAAACGTTTGGGGTACGCTCAGTGCTCATTTCACAGAGATGCTTGATTTTAAGAAAAATCTTTGAAAAATAACTTTGCATTAATATGAACAGCGTGTACTAAAATATGAATCTTCTACATGTCATGTCTCAAAATCAATATCTATCTTACCTCTATATTGGTTTATGTCCTCTGGATTTGAGAAGAAGGATGACTAGTTCAATGGTGAGCCTGTCAGTTGGCCTTCATTCTCTCACAGCATCCAGCCTAGCTGACACAATGCTATTTTCCTGATTTATGACCACATTTTATTCTCATGCCTCAATTGATTTATTCACCCTCCTGCAAGGGTAAAAACACCAATAACTTTGAAACAGATTATGATAGAGACATGAGGTTTGGACCATTGGTTTTCTTAAAGGATTATCTACACAATTAACATATTATTCTACCCATTGGTCAAAATATGTGTTTTTGATTGGACACCCTAGTTTATGCCCCATGTATCTTCCTCTATGGAGGGTGGAGTGATGTCAATTCCTTTATGTCTAAGAGCTTCTCTCTGTGGTCTAACAGATCTAAGTTCTGTACTGTATGAGTGGTATAGACTGTGAGGTACAGTAGAGTGGTATAGACTGTGAGGTACAGTGGAGTGGTATAGACTGTGAGGTACAGTAGAGTGGTATAGACTGTGAGGTACAGTAGAGTGGTATAGACTGTGGGGTACAGTAGAGTGGTATAGACTGTGGGGTACAGTAGAGTGGTATAGACTGTGAGGTACAGTAGAGTGGTATAGACTGTGAGGTACAGTGGAGTGGTATAGACTGTGAGGTACAGCAGAGTGGTATAGACTGTGAGGTACAGTAGAGTGGTATAGACTGTGGGGTACAGTAGAGTGGTATAGACTGTGAGGTACAGTGGAGTGGTATAGACTTTGAGGTACAGTGGAGTGGTATAGACTGTGAGGTACAGTAGAGTGGTATAGACTGTGAGGTACAGTAGAGTGGTATAGACTGTGAGGTAGCTCCTGTAGCTGGTCCTCTGTAGCTCAGCTGGTAGAGCACGGCGCTTGAAACGCCAAGGTAGTGGGTTCGATCCCCGGGACCACCCATACACAAAAATGTATGCACGCATGACTGTAAGTCGCTTTGGATAAAAGCGTCTGCTAAATGGCATATTATATTATTATTATAGGTACAGTAGAGTGGTATAGACTGTGGGGTACAGTAGAGTGGTATAGACTGTGAGGTACAGTAGAGTGGTATAAAATCAAATCAAATCAAATTGTATTTGTCACATACACGTGTTTAGCAGATGTTATTGCGGGTGTAGCGAAATGCTTGTGCTTCTAGCTCCGACAGTGCAGTAATATCTAACAAGTAATATCTAACAATTTCACAACATATACCCAATACACACAAATCGAAGTAAGGAATGGAATTTAAGAATATATACATATATGGACAAGCATTGACAGAGCGGCATGGACTAAGATTCAGTAGAATATTATAGAATACAGTATATACATATGAGATGAGTAATGCAAGATATGTAAACATTATTAAAGTGACTAGTGTTCCATTTCTTAAAGTGGCCAGTGATTTCAATAGGCAGCAGCAGCCTCTAGTGTGCTAGTGATGGCTATTTAACTGTCAGATGGCCATGAGATAGAAGCTGTTTTTGATGCACCTGTACTGACCTTGTCTTCTGGATGATAGCGGGGTGAACAGGCAGTGGCTCAGGTGGTTGATGTTGATGATCTTTTTGGCCTTCCTGCGACATCGGGTGCTGTATGTGTCCTGGAGGGTGGGTAGTTTGCCCCCCGGTAATGCGTTCGGCAGACCGCACCACCCTCTGGAGAGCCCTGCGGTTGCGGGCGTACCAGGCGGTGATACAGCCCGACAGGATGCTCTCAATTGTGCATCTGTAAAAGTTTGTGAGGGTTTTAGGTGCCAAGCTACATTTCTTCAGCCTCCTGAGGTTGAGGAGGCTCTGTTGGACCATTTAAGTTTGTTAGTGATGTGTACGCCAAGGAACTTGAAGTTTTCCACCTTCTCCGCTGCGGTCCCGTCTATGTGGATAGGGGGGTGCACCTTCTGCTGTTTCCTGAAGTCCACGATCATCTCCTTTGTTTTGTTGACGTTGAGTGAGAGGTTATTTTCCTGGCACCACACTCCCAGAGCCCTCACCTCCTCCCTGTAGGCTGTCTCTTCATTGTTGGTAATCAAGCCTACTACTGTTGTGTCGTCTGCAAACTTGATGATTGAGTTGGAGGCGTGCTTGGCCATGCAGTCATGGGTGAACAGGGAGTACAGGAGGGGGCTGAGCACGCACCCTTGTGGGGCCCCAGTGTTGAGGATCAGCGAAGTGGAGATGTTGTTTCCTACCTTCACCACCTGGGGGCGGCCCGTCAGGAAGTCCAGGACCCAGTTGCACAGGGCAGGGTTCAGACCCAGGGCCTCAAGCTTAATGGTCTGTGGATCTATTGGGGTGATATGATTCTTGACTAGTCTCTCAAAGCACTTCATGATGACAGAGGTGAGTGCTACGGGGCGATAGTCATTTAGTTCAGTTACCTTTGCTTTCTTGGGTACAGGAATAATGGTGGCCATCTTGATGCATGAGCAGCACAAACTGGCTCTAACCAGAATAGAAAGTGGAGTGGACGCCTCACAGGTCCTCAACTGGCAGCTTCTTTCAGTACCCGCAAAACACCAGTCTCAATGTCAACAGTGAAGAGGTGACTCCGGAATGCTGACCTTCTAGGCAGAGTTGCGAAGAAAAAGCCATATCTCAGACTGCCCATCTTAATCTTTTATTTTTATTGGCCAGTCTGAGATAAGTATTTTTTTTTGCAACTCTGCCTAGAAGGTCAGCATCCCGGAGTCGCCTCTTCACTGTTGACGTTGAGACTGGTGTTTTGCAGGTACTATTTAATGAAGCTGCCAGTTGAGGACCTGTGAGGAGTCTGTTTCTCAAACTAGACACTCTAATGTATTTGTCCTCTTGCTCAGTTGTGCACCGGGGCCTCCCACTCCTCTTTCTATTCTGGCTAGAGCCAGTTTGCGCTGTTCTGTGAAGGGAGTAGTACACAGCGTTGTACGAGATCTTCCGTTTTTTGGTAATTTCTCGCATGGAATAGCCTTCATTTCTCAGAACAAGAATAGACTGATGAGTTTCAGAAGAAAGTTATTTGTTTCTGGCCATTTTGAGCCTGTAATCGAACCCACAATTGCTGATGCTACAGATACTCAACTAGTCTCAAGAAGGCCAATTGTATTGCTTCTTTAATCAGCACAGCAGTTTTCAGCTGTGCTAACATAATTGCAAAAGGGTTTTCTAATGATCAATTAGCCTTCTAAAATGATAAACTTGGATTAGCAAACACAACGTGCCATTGGAACACAGGACTGATGGTTGCTGATAATGGGCCTCTGTATGCCTATGTAGATATTATATTTAAAAAATCAGCCGTTTCCAGTTACAATAGCCATTTACAACATTATCAATGTCTACACTGTATTTCTGATCAATTTGATGTTATTTTAATGGACAAAAACAAGTACATTTCTAAGTGACCCCAAACGTTTGAACGGTAGTGTATATATTTTTCATTTATTCTTATTTACAACTTTCTGTCTTTAATTCTTTAATTCTCTAGTGACCATCTTCACGAATTATATCAAGATTTTTTTAACATCAACTCGTATATATTTTTTGACTGAAACAAAAACAACATGATTGACAATAGGCTTTTATCCATCAGCATGTGATTGATGGTTTCAATATTGGAGCAGGATATAGGAAGCGTGACGTGTCTGTTGTGTGACAGTTTATGGGTACTACCTCTGGGAAAGTCTTCTTCAAACACACCCATGGATGTATAAGGCAAACATCTGGGAGGTCAAAACCCCAAACTGGACCAATCCACATTTGAGCCGGCCATCATGTCTCCATCTCTCATGTCATATTAACATCTCTCTCTCTCTCTCTCTCTCTCTCTCTCTCTCTCTCTCTCTCTCTCTCTCTCTCTCTCTCATCTCTCTCATCTCTCTCCATATCTCTCTCTCTCTCCCTATCTCTCTCTCCATATTTCTCTCTTTCTCTCTCTTTATCTCTCTCTCTCCATAGCTCTCTCTCTCTCGTTCTCTCCATATCTCCCTCCTCCTCATTCTATCACTCTTCATCTCTCTCCATCTCTCTTTCTCTCCATCCCCCCATCCCTCCCCTTCCTCACTCCCTTGTTCCCTCGTTCAACAGTTAATCACCAACAGGGTTGTAAAAGTAATGCCCTGTTCTCGACATGAGTGTCTGGGTTGCGTCCTCTAATAGAGAGCCAATTACCTACCATTACCATTACTGCAGTACGTGTGTCAGTGCGTGCATCCTTACAGCACCCACTTTATTACTGCGGTACGGGAGTGCGTGTGTGTGTATGTGTGTGTGTGTGTGTACAGCGTCCACTTTATTAAGGAGCGATGATGGCGACTACAAAAACAACAAGTTGTGAACAGATCCGCCTGGCGCCCACACCTGTCCAGGTCCTGTACATGTTGTTGTTTTTCTGTTTCTTTCTCCATTAACCTCCGCTGATGTTGCTGCTGGGGTCTGTAGTTCATGTAGTTCACAATTAGAATGGGTAACACTTTACTGTAGTTGTCCTATGCACTAAGTATTCATAAAGCCTTTATGACACAACACATTATAATATTTGTCATAAGGACACCTGAAGTAGGGCCATATACAATCCGCGATGCAGAGAACGTGGACGGAATCACGGAATCCAGACATTAAAATGGAATTCAACAATATTCAAAAATGTATTGAACAGTAGGGAATCAACTAAATCTATTGAACTTAGTAGGGAATCAACTAAATGTATTGAAAAAGTATTACGTGTATTATAAGACAAGAACAGAATGCATCAGTGATTCTTATTTCCTGCAACGTTCTGAAGAGGCAACGACAATTCCCTGTATGTGAATGTGTGGTACGCACCTACCACTTTGTGTAGCCGTTAGCGATGATGCTAGTGAAGTCTTCTGGTAGACAGAAAGGCTTTCCCAAAAACGTTTTCCATTAAATGTTAACTACAAAGTAGCCTATGCTTATCTGGCAGAATGATATCATGATTATTTGTGTCAATCTAGTGGGTATTTGTTTTGCAAACTCTACCATCACGTGTGCTACACAGCTTAACAGCCTCTTGCTAGGTGTGCACTGGAATGAAAGGGTAACTACACCCCAAAATCTAAATTTCAACAGACCTCAAAAGTGGTCTCCTGATGTGGTTTAAGCATTGTTGTTGACTTACAACATCCAATTTAGTTGTTTTTCTATATAAAAAGTGTGACTTTGAGAGCAAAAACCTGAAAAATCAGGAGAAAACAGAAACCTAGAAAAACTAAATGGAAAAAACTGAATTTGGGAAAAAACTAAACCTAATTTTGACTTTATTAGTGGGCTATTTTCTTTAATAGTTGCTACTGTCCTCCATTGTCTTGGATGCTTTAACAGAATAGTGTTGTTGTTTTGAGAATGCATAATGAGATCAGTATTTTTTCTCTCACACACTTATCTTGCTGTCTCCTATACAGGTCCATCTCTTCTGACCCCCAACAATCTCACCTTTTTCTCTGTTTCTCCCATACAGGTCCAATTGCTACGCACTGAAGTCAACCTCAAACCACTCACCCAACTACCACAACCAACAACATATCATCACCTCTGACCTCCATGGAGCTTGTCCAAACGCCCCCGGTCATCTACCTCCCCACAGCCGCCCCCTCCATGCCTGGGCCCAACACCTCCACCTTCCCCCTCTCCCCCCTCCTCCTCCTCACCCCGGACGACGGTTTCTTCAATAGATCCTACCACAACTGGACCAACCCTGGCGGCGGAGGCGTAGGGGGTTTCCAACCCACTATAGCAGGGGTCCTTATCCCTCTCATCTATGTAGCTGTCTGTGTGATCGGCCTGGTGGGCAACACATTGGTCATCTACATTGTTTAACACTATGTGAGGACTGAGTCGGTCACTAACATCTATATACTCAACCTGGCCATCGCTGATGAGCTATTCATGCTAGGTCAGTGATTTTTTTTTGTCAGTGGTTTTACTGTTTTATTCAAATTGTTGTTTATTCAACTCTGTTATTAGCCTTATTTTGCGAGCTCACATTCTGTTTCACTTGAAATTAAACAAAATATGACCGCAGCAATCAGTCTGCTTTCACCAGGATACTCTTTTATTGCCTCTTTTACTGTTTTCTTTCATCTGATTATTTTACTGTATTTCTTTCATCTGATTATTTTATTGTAAAGTGTGTTACACTTTTGAATGCAGTTTTAAATGCACTTCAAATGCAATGTAAGTGCGCGGTTTTAATCGTTTTTATGGGATGGACCACTGTCAATATAGTTTGATTTTATTTTACTTCCCCTAGGCCTCCCCTTCCTGGCGGTCCAGAACGCTCTGCTCTCCTGGCCATTTGGTTCTCTCATGTGCCGTGTGGTCATGACCGTGGACGCCATCAACCAGTTCACCTCCATCTTCTGTCTCACGGTCATGTCCATCGACCGCTACCTCGCAGTGGTCCATCCCATACGGTCGTCGTGGTGGAGGCGACCGCACGTGGCCAAGGCGGTGAACGCGACGGTGTGGGCGGTGTCGTTTGTGGTGGTGCTGCCCGTGGTGGTGTTCGCAGACGTGCTGGAGGATGATGGGAACTGTAGTATAGTGTGGCCTGAGCCAGCTGAGGTCTGGAAGGCATCATTCATCGTGTACACGTGCACGGTCGGGTTCTTCGGACCGCTACTCGTCATCTGTCTCTGCTACCTGCTCATCGTGGTCAAGGTCAGAATGTCGGCCTACTTTCCCACTTAAGGGGAAAAATAGCTCTTTTACACTAATTGGGAGACCTTCCTGTTATACTTAGACTGAACCAGTATCTCCTTTAAAACATAATTGTTGTGTTACTATACCTCCGTTGTTACATGAAATTAATGTGTTCTGATGTCTTTGTCTCATATTACCACTGATTTATTTATATTTCTCTTAAATCAAACAGACATTGTGCTGGGCATTTGTTTTGAGGGGCGGGACCGCTTGGCCCTCTTCCAGGGAACCCTTCCTTGTGCGGTTCTCTACTCCGGCCCTGACCTGTTACATCTGACAACAAACAGATATTTATCAACATCTTTAATGTCTGGGTCAGGAGCCGGAGGGGAGGACACACTGGGAGTGGGTCTCTGTCAGTGGAGGCTGCTGAGGGGAGGACGGCTCATAATAATGGCTGGAATGGAGTCAATGGAATGGTATGAACCACATGGAAACCACGTCTTTGATGTATTTGATGCAATTCCATTGACTCCATTCCAGCCATTATTATGAGCCGTCCTCCCCTCATCAGCCTCCACTGGTCTCTGGGGAGGGGTAGAGCGGCCTGGGAGTGGGTCTCTGGGGAGGTGGTGGAGCGGCCTGGGAGTGGGCTCTGGGTAGGTGGTGGAGCGGCCTGGGATTGGGTCTCTGGGGAGGGGGTGGAGCGGCCTGGGAGTGGGTCTCTGGGGAGGGGGTGGAGCGGCCTGGGAGTGGGTCTCTGGGGAGGGGGTGGAGCGGCCTGGGAGTGGGTCTCTGGGGAGAGGGTGGAGCGGCCTGGGAGTGGGTCTCTGGGGAGGGGGTGGAGTGGCCTGGGAGTGGGTCTCTGGGAAGGGGGTGGAGCGGCCTGGGAGTGGGTCTCTGGGGAGGGGGTGGAGTGGTCTACCCTACAGTGGCCTACCCTACAGTGGTCTACCCTACATTTTTTACATATTTGAACAGTTTTTCACTTTTTATAGTCAATATATTGCTGAGTTAACCATTATATTATATTTAATTGTAAAGTGTGTTGAGATGTTTTAACTGCCAATAAAGTTGAATTGTTTTGTTTTGATTCTAAGGTGCGCAGCGCGGGGAAACGGGCCCGGCCCACCTCCTCAAGACGCAGGAAGTCCGAACGCAAGATCACCCGCATGGTGGTTGTCGTGGTAGCGGTGTTCGTGTTGTGCTGGCTCCCATTCTACATCCTCAACATCGTTAACCTGCTAGTCCTGTTACCGGGTGAATTCCGGGGGCTGTACTACTTTGTGGTGGTCCTATCGTACGCTAATAGCTGCGCTAACCCGATACTTTACGGATTCCTGTCCGATAATTTTAAGAGAGGGTTCCGGAAGGCTCTTTGTCGTTCTTCGAGGAGGGTGGAGAACCACGAGAGGGCGGCAGCCACCGAGCTGCAGCTCCCTGCGGAGCTCTGGAGGGGAATTGCGCCCGAGCGGCGAGATGGCCTGGGGGTCACCAAGGCTCATGGAGGAGGGGAGGAAGAAAAGGAGGAGGAGGAAGAGGAAGACGGGATAGAGATGGAGAGAAGAGAAGACGTCACTCAGATGACAGAGGACTGCAGGATTGCACAGAACGGGAACGGTGGAGGACAAGTTGAGAGCTCCAGGATCTTGTTCACACCGGGCGGAAAGGTGGAGACTGTACCCCAGGGGCAGAGGGCTAAAGCTGGGGAGGTGGCTGGGAAAGGCCCAGGCTTGGGGCCTACTGTCACTGTCTCCAATCTTACCAATGGATCAAAGAGTAAAAGTAATAGGTCACTTCCAGAGGAGACAGTGGAGAAGAGCACCAAGCTAGAGATCAGCTACCTGTAACTCATAAATAAGCTATTTTCCAATGTTCATACTAGCATACCATTTATACGGACAAGTCTTGCTGAGGCTGTCCTAATATGGACACTGTACAGCGTATAGAATGGGGGTAGGGTGAAGTTGCCCCTAGAGACGCGGATATTGGGTCAGTTTTGCATAAGGTTAGGTAATTGGGGGAGGGGAAGCTGATCCTAGATCTGTACCTAGGGGAAATTTTACCCAGGCGCTAGAATGCATGTCCGGTACATGGACTCATTCTAAGTAGCGAGCTACTGTGTAGATTGGGACATAGACATATGGATTGAATGAATGTATTGTAGCGACATTAACCCAACAGCTAGCGACCTTGTTAAGAGGTTTGGAGCTCTTGGGGTAACAGTTGAGGTGTTGGCTTGTCAGTCACTGGTTGGAGCTACCACCCGAATTCGCTAATGTATCATTTAAATGGACACTTTTGAGTATCAACTGTGAACATACAATGATACCAACTGCCTTGCCTCAAATTCCAAGCTTTTTGCCAAAACAGTGATGATCAGTTATTTTATTGGGCTGAGAATATGCTGTCTTTACAGAATACATTTCAGTATTACGCTTAGTGTGCAACGTAAATATGTATAGAAATGTATGAGAATCAAAATACAGTTTTGGGGATGAATAGGCTAATCAGAGATCCACACAAGGAGAAAAAACATATACTATATATTATCAGTATTTAAATGATGTCTCTATGTTAGTTTCTTAGTGCAGTATTTTTTCAACAGTAGCCTTCAGACAAAGTATAAAAGTCTCATGATACCACTAAAATCACATGGGACGAACTGTTCCCTTTCATCCGAGAAAAGCATCATATAACTATTTCAATAAGAGTTCATACTGCCTCTGTCTGAGGCTTCACAATACAAGTGCAAAACAGTGTCCTTGCGTTGAAAGCGAAAGCAAACAGACATCTAGTTCCATTCTATTTCTATCTCACCGCATCCCTGGTGGAGCGTTTCGTTTATCAGAATGAATGGAATGGAATCATTACAGTGAATAACGTCGCCTAAACTGCACCTGCACGATTAAGACTCATACATATTCATGATGACGGTAGTCGAGTCGATTAAATGATGGCGGATGGTATATCAAAGAGGTGTGCGCACTCTGATATCGACCTTTGGCTAATTTGATTGGAGTGCAGCTGAATATCTTCTGAGCGACGTCGTGGTGGATATTGATGTCGAATGCTATTTTGTTGGGGGGAATGTTAGTAATTTTACCTTTTAGACAGATGCTGTTTATGTGAGTGAAGCTGAACCATTAGAACACAGGTGGCCTTTGGAACTAAAGAACTAATGATAGATATTTGCAGAGCCATATTTGTAGATATTTAGATTGAGATAATATGTCTCTGGGTAGTTGCAGAGGAACAAAACAATTTTGCTATGGAGCAGAGCTATACAGTATCGCTTAGTATGTATGTAGGCTATACACAGTGCCATATTGAATAAGATAATTGATCAAATGCGGCCTTTAAGTTCACTCTGTATCTGAACATAATTGTTTTGTAGCTGTAGCCTGAATGTTGTTTTGTAGCTGTAACTTTAATGTTTTGTCATGTTGTTTTCAGAACAGCCTCAATTCGTTGGGGCATGGACTCTACAAAGTGTTGAAACGTTCCACAGGGATGCTGGCCCATGTTTACTCCAATGCTTCCCACAGTTGTGTCAAGTTGGCTGGATGTCCTTTGGGTGGTGGACCATTCTTGATACACACAGGAAACTGTTGAGTGTGAAAAACCCAGCAGCGTTGCAGTTCTTGACACACTCAAACCCGTGCACCTGGCACCTACTACCATACCCTGTTCAAAGGCACTTAAATATTTTGTCTTGCCCATTCACCCCCTGAATGGCACACATACACAATCCATGTCTGAATTGCCTCAAGGCTTAAAAATCCTTATTTAACCGTCATCTACACTGATTGAAGAGGATTTAACGAATGACATCAATAAGGGATCATAGCTTTCACCTGGATTCACCTGGTCAGTCTATGTCATGGAAAGAGCAGGTGTTCCTAATGTTTTGTACGCTCAGCTTATGTCTACACAAGGCTAGAAGTTAACAAGTTAGAAGAGAAGTTATTGGGAAAAGTGCTCGCCATACCTGTCACACACTTGAAATGAATGTTGAATCAGGTGTGCTAGCTCTGGAATACTTCAAATACTTGGAATGGCAGGGAGTCCCCGAGGAGAGGTTTGAGAACCACTGCGTTAGAAGAGATGTTTGGAAAAGTTGTCGCACACCTGAGATGCAGGGGCGGCCTGTTCAATAGGGCGATATGGGCGACGCACTGCCAAACGGGAAAAGGAAGGGATTTTTTTTCTAATCAATTATATCACGGCAACAGTAGTTATCAGTGTTGTAATCTATACGTCTGATCTGCCACAGTGCCACACTGCCACTAAATGTCGAATCAGGCTAAAGTCGTGCTTCAAATGGCTCCCCCCCCTTTTGGGGCGATTTCAGTCAGGTTGAAAATCGCCCAGAAGTCTGTAATAGACTCCCATGTAAAATCTATTTTTTTCAAATTTCAGAGCCTTCAATACAATCTCAATGGGTGTCTGTGGGCTTGCACTTACGCGCTTTCGTCATACGTTACGTAACCATGAACGTAACTGAGAAAAGAGTGGATTGTTTGAAAGAAGTTCCTTTTTGTCGGCGAACAAATGGAGATAAATTGGCAACGAAACAATTAGGACCTCCCAGACCAAATTTAATAATTCAACAGGTTTCTACTAAAGGCGGAAAGTCCTACACCCGAGGATTTTCCAAAAATTGGTACGAACGAAAAAAGACATTGCCACTCACTCAACTGGATGACGAGGGATACAGGCTAGCTGTCCGCCGCCACAACGATGAGGTTAGTGTTGATAATCACAAGTTTACTGGATGTGGATATGGTGTAATAAAGGCAGTTTATTCAGAGGTAAATATATCTGGAATCGCGTTCACGGACCCGTTCGTCAAACTCTTAGGGAGCTATAAATTAAGCCCCATTACTTACCATATCAGATAAGAGAAATTGCTGCAGCTACATATATTTTACATCCTGGCCCTACATAGTTCACTATTTGCATCACTTACCAAAATATTACATGTGGTCATATATGCTTGGAAAGTGGAGATGCCATAGAACGTCAAAAAAGTAAACATTGCTGGAGACACATTGCCGTTTTGGAGAAGACATCGCGTTTGCTAGCGAAGAGATTTGTTGTGGCAAATGAACTTGGGCTGGGAATTGCCAGGAACCTCACGATAAGATATATGCATCAGCATTGCGAGTCTCATGATTCTATACGTATTGCGATTCGATACTGTGATTTTATTGCGCACCATATGTCTGTTGCAGAGGGATCAGAAAGCCATGAGAACGAGTTTTGATCAGTCATGGAAATAAAAGTGCTGAAAACAAATTTGCTCCCAATGTGAAAAGATTGAGAACAAGCTATGAAGGAACAATAATGGTGTTTTGGTGCAGGTACAGCCAACTAGCGCTAAAATATTGCGATATTGTCAATACAGTATATCGTAAAGTATCACTATGTAACTCGATTTCTTTCACCCCAATCCCTCAAATTAACGGTAAATAACTGAATTGTTTGCCCCACATTTAGCTAAGATGATTAGCTAGCCAGCTAAAATGTTTTATTTAGTTAGCAGTCGCATCTACAATAGTTTACTGTCAATAACATGTCTCCAAAAATGACGTGGTGTCTCCAATTGTGTTGACATTTTACAATTGCAATGCGCATCCATGAGTATCCACTTTCTGTAGCTCAGCTGGTAGAGCATGGTGCTTGTAACGCCAAGGTAGTGGGTTCGATCCCCGGGACCACCCATACACAAAAATGTATGCACGCATGACTGTAAGTCGCTTTGGATAAAAGCGTCTGCTAAATGGCATATTATTATTATTATTATTATTATTATTATTATCTGAAGAGAGCCCCGAAACATTGTGTGCAGACATTTTATGCAATAAATGAAGTAGGTTCAATCTAGTAGTTCTGATCTTCTGATTGGTCCTGATGAGTTGGGCGAGGTCCCCTGCAGGCTACTGTCACTGTTGCATTGGCTCTGAGTCGGGTTCTCTGTCTTCAAATGTTCAGCCTAAGAGAGGGGATTTTTGTGTGTGTGTGTGTGTTTAACAGTGATGATGTGTGTGTGTGTGTGTGTGTGTTTAACAGTGATGATGTGTGTGTGTGTGTGTGTTTGTGTGTGTGTGTGTCCTCAGAGCAAGAACTCGTGAGTTGGAAGAACTGAGAGGCCTATGGCGTGGGTGTTGTCCTTGGCCACCTGCTGACAAGGCTGACAAGATAGGACCCTTTTGTCCATTGTTATTGGATAGGAACAGAACTTATAACCAGCTCCTGACCTAAATAGATCTTAGCACAACATTTTACTCAACATATCATATTCCATATTCACTATAACAAATATATTTACTACGACATTAGCAAGAACCGCCACATCCTCAGCCGGCTAATCCAGTGTGTGAAGTTTTGCGGAGTGTTTGAGTTAGCTTTGCGAGGCAAAGATGAAACTGAGGGCTCCACCAACCCTGGTAAGCCAACACTTTTGAGATCAGTCAATAAATGCTTCTGGTATTGACTTATATGCTGCCCCTGTCTTCATGTTGTTGCTGGACATATCTTTTTTTAAATGTGTGTAGGTCACCTAAATCATCAGAAAAATTGCCCCTCCTGAGAATTTTTTCAGGAGCCGCCACTGCTGAGATGAATGATAACGAGCTTACGTCTACGCTTGTCTCACCCACGGTGGTGCTTTGGAAGCCTGGTTACCAGTCTTTTGTGCCATCATACCACTCCTTGTCATGCCAAACATATTGGCAACCACAAGGAGTTGACTGCACTAACAGATCTGGGACAAGGCTAGTGCTTTGGTCACCCACAGTGTGTGGATGGAACCTAGCTCTTGCTTTGGTAAAGATCTCAACTGATTTCAGTGTTTCTGATAGTGTGTACATGGTAGCCTGAATGCCAGTCTGTTTGTGCCATCATGCCAACTCCATTTCACTCATTGTTATGCCAAACATGTTATGATTGACAATAACAGCTTTGGAGTTGGCAAGAGCACAAACAGATCTGGGACCAGGCTATGTAAATGGTATTTCTATGTTTAGATAGTGTCTGTGTACTGTGCTGCTGTTGGTGCTTTGTTCGACTAAAAAGCCTCAAATTGAATGTGGAATTTGAAGAAAAAAATAAAATTTCTTATAATGTGATTTTTATTTTTTATTCCAAGTTATTGGTGGAATTCCATTGGTCTCAGTTGACGTCTGACACTACAGCATGGAAGAGAGAAATGTTTGTCAGAGCAATCAGATATTCTGATAAGAGGGACAACCCATCTGTCACTTTCCAAGAGTATTGATGAGTGTTAATGTAATGGTTGGTCGGCGCTTTAAATTAACATCAGTATTGATTGTGGAGAAGCAATCAGATAATTAATGACGTAAGGTCCACGAGACGGATCCGGACAAATTGGCTGAAGACCGAATGCGGCCCACAGGGAAAATGAGTTTGACACCCCTGATCTATGATAAGCCTGAGGCAGTAATGTAGGGAAATAGTCAGGTCCAAAATTATTGTCACCCTTGATAAAGATGAACAAAAAAGTATGTTTAAATTAAATAATTCAAATACTGAGCTGTATTGTATGCAAAAAAATGTATTATTATACTATTTTATACTAATACAATTGCTCAGAGAAAGAGATTTGGAGAAGTAATATTTTTTCTCTCAAAAAGATGGGGGTTACAATTATTGGCACCCCCGTTTTCAATACCTTTCAATACCTCACCTTGCGAGGATAAAGGCACTGAGTTGGAGAACACATTGGGAGGGATCATGGACCATTCCCCCATACACAATCGTTCCAGATTCACAATATCCTTTGTCTGCGCTTATGGACTGCCCTCTTCAATTCAAACCACAGGTTTTCAATGGGGTTCAAGACCGGAGAATATAGCTATTGCAAAATGATTTTGTGTTCAATTAACCATTTCTTTGTGGATTTTGATGTGTACTTAGGGTTATTGTCTTGTTGGAAGAGTCACTTGCTGCCAAGTTTCAGCCTCCTGGCAGGAGCAACCAGGTATTTGTCTAAAATGCCCTGGTACTTGGTAAAGTTCATAATGCATTGACCTTAACAAGGGCCCCAGGACCAGTGGAAGCAAAATAGCCCCATAACATCAAAGATCGACCACCATATTTTACAGTATGTATGGGGTTCTTTTCTGGATACGCATCTTTCTTTCAACACAAAACCCACCACTGCTGTGTATGGCCAAAGAGCTCTATTTTCATGTCATCTGAACATAGCACCAGTTCCAATCCAAGTGCCAATGGCGTTTACATTTGTTGGATGACATGAAAATAGAGCTCTTTGGCCATGCAAACCAGTGGTGGGTTTTGTGTTGAAAGAAGGATAGGTATGCCGAAAAGAACCCCATAGGCAGTCCATAAGCGCAGACAAATGATATCAAGGATCTGGAAAGACTGTATGGAGGAATGGTGTAAGATCCCTCCCAATGTGTTCTCCAATCTCATGAAATATTTTACAAAAAGGCTCTGTGCCGTTATGCTCACAAGGTGAGGTATTGAAAGGTTTTGAAAACAATAATTTTGACCCCTATCTTTTTTTTGAGAAAAAATATATTACTTGTTAAACAAAATATTTTTCTCTGAGAAATAGTATTAGAATAAAATATCATTTTCTAAAATAATGTATAATACAATATAGCTCAGTATTAGTAATATTTATTTTATACAGTCTTTTTTGCTCATCTTTATCAAGGTGCCAATAATTTTGGACCTGACTGTAGATAGACCCTACAGTGGAGATTCATTGATCACTGTGTCCCTCTATTGGTCAAAGCCAGGACAACACTGAAACAGTAAAAAATACATTTTAGTCACATTTCTGCTGATGTTTTATTCCAAATAAATGTCTCACAGCCTCCCTCTGTCCATCCATCTATCCCTTCCCATCATTCTGGTACAGCGTCACCGAGCCACTTGAGGTAGGGCGGGTTGCCCTGCTCTATGGGTAGGCTGATGACCTCTGCTACTTCATACGGATGGTTGGACCTGTTAGAAAGCAAACACAGTATGAGTCACACACACACACATAGATAGACAAATGCATGCACACACACACACAGTACACCCCTGCTATATGAGTCTCTGATAAATGTCAATGGAAATTCTGGGAAAGGACTGATTAAACAACCCATTGCCTGATTTTGTACATAGACTACGTATTATCCCTATAACTGAGGGAAATAATGGAACACACACACAATGATTACCTAACATATTCTGCCAGAGATGCAACCTTAGAACTTCTGGTCTTTATCATCTAAAAGTAGGAAGAAAGTAGTTACAACTTTAGTTACATCACACTCCGATAAACCAAGCATATTGAGTCTTCATTCAATGCACAATAACAGTACTAGCTATTCCATTAGGCCTATATGTTTTGTCATGGACTTGCAGGGCAGCATATACAGATACTATAGGTTCATATCGAACAGGACCAGAAATAGAAAGAGGTGTGAATGCTCACCAGCAAAACTTCACTATCCTCCTCGATCTTCCCCTGCCATTCATATCTGACAAGAAACAGAGACATGTTGCCAATCCTAATCAGTAACCCTTCCATTCCCTTCACGTGTTCTAATCTCTGATCCGTCATGGTCCACACTTACACAGATGTGATTTTGGGAACTATGTTGACACAAGCAGCCAGCTTCTTCTCAACGATCCCTCTGTCAGGTGGGGGGAAGAGACAATGACAATAACCAATCAGAATGGATGGATAAACTGCATCCAGCACAATATGGATAACAAATACATGATTCAGACTACAGAGCCGACGCCAACCATACCGGCTCTGATATTTTGTTTGACATTTTCCTTTCTAGCACGGTTTAAGCAGTTTAGCCCAGTTCAGCTTAACCTGGCTCAGTTTGGCCCTATAGTGTGAATCAACGTCGCATTCGGGAGAGTGCAACTTTCTGAACATTGCTGATAGAAATGTCTTCTAGAGGTGACATCTGACATGCTTCCCAATTCAACATAGCAGAGAATAATGTTTGTTTGTGTGTATGTCTGTGTCTATCCGTTACCTGGCCAGATCTTTGGCCACCTGTTCGTTGGGGCAGGTGACGAAGGCGGCGGAGTGTGTGCCCGCCATGTAGGTCTCGGACGCCATGGAGAACGCTCTCAATCCCACAGTCCTCAGCAACGCGTGCATCAACACGCTCAGCAACGCAGTCTAGGGGTTTAGGAGAAGAACTGACAGACAACATTCTATGGTGGAAATATTTCATGAGAAATACAGTAAATCAAATCAACCACTTGACTGTTTCTGCATATTACAATGGCTAGGACTAGGCTACATTTGGCAAGACAACAAGCATATACGAAATGGATTGCAGACAGCTAAGCAACTTCTTGAATATGTCTCTTCTACCTGACTACTTGTGGTTTGGGACACATACTCACCACAAAGAATGCCCTCAGAGGTCCACCAGCCAGCAATCCTTCTGTAGCAGGCAGTCCAAAGCGCATTGCCTAAGCAGCACTCTGCAGCAGGGGTAAGTGACATACATGCATTAGCAATCATACAGGGCAGGCCGGGAGCGATGACTGACAATGAGTTCATAGCATGACAAGCAACCACACAAGTTCTGCCTTAGGCAAACGTCCAAATACTGAAAAGCAAAATTATGTTTATGGACTAACAATAGCTACAAACACAGCATACAGTACGAAGCTAGCTAGCTAGGCTAATTGGGTGTGACTTTACTGTGGTGTGAGCTCAACTCGCTGTAACTTGACACGTGCAAATGCAGGACAGGACTTTTGCCAAATGGTCCAAAACGAAATAATTATCCGGTACGAAATGTACAATTCATATGCTACATCAACTCAAACTGTCCAGCTAAAATTACCTTTAGACAGGAGCAGTTTCGATGCACACAATGCTGTTGCCACTCTCTAACGTAAAAATTAAGCTCTGCCGTAAAGCAGGATCTGTTGTTTACCAATTGGTCGTAAATGCAAAAGCAGAGCTGGACGCACGAGAATTATGTCGATATGGTAACGTTTTCAATTATTATGTGAAAAATGTATTATTAGTAGAAATGATAGTGGTATACAGCCAGTCGTAGTGTGTTTATTGACGTCGTTTCGCTTATAAATGTAAGCGTTTATAAATGCTAAACTGGTTTATGGCTGCAATATCAGCTCTGGCCAGCAGATGGCAACCGTGATCCATAAAATATAAAACACCACCACCACAAGCGAGACCAGAAATTAATTCACTGTAACGTTTGTTGGTGTTGTATTTTATTGACTTTTATTGGTTAAAAATCATCACACATCAATAAAAAAAAAATTAAAACCATATTTTTGTTTTGTTGCAGTTTATTGTAACACAGAGAAAGTTCACACATTCCTAGCTACATCTATATTTCCATAGTTTGGTAAAAAACAAAATTGGAGTATTTTCACTGAAATTATTTTTATTCCAAAATAAAAACAAATTCTCAGGACCCTGAAAGCAAATAGGTCAAGGGAGAGATAAACATAGTTCCTCTCCTTGTATCTGAGCACAACAACACAGCATACTGACTGAGTAGCCTAAGTTAGACTTTTTTACAGAAAGCACATAGTAATGTTCTTAAATATAGTTATGTTATTTTTGAACACCCCAATACCAGTAGATTGAATGACAGATTTACATATGATATAGAGATTGAGTGGGTGGGTGGGTGGGTGGGTTGGTTGGTGGGTGGGTATGTGGGTGGGTGGGTGGGTGGGTGGGTGTGTGGGTGGGTGGGTTGGGTTGTGTGGGTTGGTGGGTGGGGTGGGTGCTCGATAATAGATAGATAGCTCGATCATCTCCATCCTAGCTCGATAGCCTCGCTCCTCCTCCGCTCCTCGATAGATATGCTCGCTCGCTCCTCTCCGCTCGCCTAGCTCGCTCGCTAGCTGCTAGCTCGATGTAGATAGATAGATAGATAGATAGATAGATAGATAGATAGATAGATAGAGTCATGCCATTGATGTGTGTCATATTTGAGATTATCTGTGGTCAAACTACAGTTAGAGATTAGTTTCAGTATACAGTATATACTGTATATTTAAAGAGGCATGTTCTGTCCAATGATACATGAAAAACCTGAACATCTAATAAGCATTCATATGTACCTTGAAACTTGGGACTTCTCATTTTATAACTATAGAAAATATATCTGTGATGAAGAGATCTGTTTTGGTAGCAGCTGTGATGAACTATCTACACTACAATAGCTTTGCCTTCTCGCTACAGCCTAAGAACTATGCTTTGGTCCAACTAATGAATGTAAGTCAGTTATATGAGTGAATGTCAGTTGGTTGGTATGACAACCCCCCCCACACACACACTTATCCTGACTCCTCCCCCTCCCATCATCCATCCCGCCACTTCTCCATCCATCCCTCCAACCACTCCCCCCTCCTCCTGTCCTCCCTCCATCCCTCTGGTCCTCCTTAAGCACTGGTTCTCCCCTCCACGCCTCCTTCATCTATCACTCCTTTCCCGCTCCCAACCCTTCAATCCTCCCACTCCCCACCCCCTTCTACTCCCCCATCCTCCCTTCATCCCTACTCTCCTCCCTCAGTACTCCTGGTACCCCCCGCCCCCCTTGCCGTTAATCCCCTGATAGGAGGACCCCCCCACAGGGTCTCCGTCTTCCAGGTCATCCCCCCCGGCCGTGAAGGAGGTGTAGGGATCCCCGGCCGCCCCAGCATCCAGGCTGGGGTCTATGTAGTCCTGGGAGAAGAGAGCAGAGTCTGCCCCCAGCTTGTACCTCTGGTAGCCGAAGAAGGACTGGGCTGCCTTGGGGAGGGAGGTGAGTGAAGAGGGTAGTGTGGGAGGCCAATGTTGGGGTTGTGGGGTGAGGTGAAGAGGGAAGGAGGTGGGGAGGTAGAGGGGTGTAGGTTGGGGGTGAGGTGAAGGGAAATGGAAGGGAGGAGGGTGAAGAAGAAGTGGGGGATGGAGGTTAGGGGGTAAAGTGGAGAGGAGGGGGTAGGTTCGGAAGGGAGGTTTTGAAGGGGTAGTTGAACGGTGGATGGGTATCATAGCGGGTGGAGGTGGAGGTTTGTGGTGGATGGGGTGTGGTTAGGTAGAGGTGCAAGAGATGATAAACAAATGCATGAAAGCAGGAGCATTTGTGGATTAGGTTAGAAAGGGAGAAAGAAAGAAAGAAAGAAAGAAAGAAAGAAAGAAAGAAAGAAAGAAAGAAAGAAAGAAAGAAAGAAAGAAAGAAAGAAAGAAAGAAAGAAAGAAAGAAAGAAAGAAAGAAAGAAAGAAAGAAAGTAAGAAAGAAAAGGAAGTGAATTGAATTAGTCAGCTGGAAAGCTAGGTTAAATCTTTATTAGATTGTTCGATTGAGTCCCAAATGACACCCTATTCCCTTTATAGCTCTGTTCAGAAGTAGTGCACTATATAGGGAATAGGATGCCCTTTTAGACACAGGCCTTGAGTCAGTCTGGGTCAGTTAGTTATCAAAGCAGTTGTTTAGCCATTCACATTGAACAGTTTTTTAGTTTGGTAAAAACAAACAATCATTCACACTCTTCAGATAAAAAAGCCAAGAGCAGAAGAAGATATGCAGTAAATGTGATAAAATGTGTTTTCACTAAATGTGTATATTTATTGGATAGCTAAAGCATTTGAAAGGCTTTTGAGCTATAAAGCCATCAAAGTAATTTACCAGCCTTTCACAAAATGGTGGAGGTAGCCTATAGTAAATGCCTGCCTACGCTGTGTGTGTGTGTTTGTGTGTGTGTGTGTGTGTGTGTGTGTGTGTGTGTGTGTGTGTGTGTGTGTGTATGTGTATGTGTGTATGTATTGATAGAGACATTTCAGTCACAGCAGAGTCTGACTAGAAGCAATAAGAGGTTAGCTGCAGAGGGATTGGAGATAGAGGTTTCCTACTAGAACAACACATTATCTTATATTAGTGGGATGGGTGGAAGGGGGTGGAAAGTTTCAATCGCGGTCTGCAACTTTAAGGGCAGGGGAGAAGAACACATTATAATAGTAGGATAGGGGGCTGAGGGGTGAACAGTATAATTACGGACTGCAGCTTTAAAAGCAAAGAGCGATAGAAGGTTATTAGAAGAACACATTATATCAGTAGGATAGAGGGCTGAGGGGTGAACAGTTTATGGTATTCCTCTTCAAAGGACAGACTCTTAAGCCTCTCCATAGAGAAGAGAGCCAGCCCACCCTGAGGAGAGAGACCAGGTAGGACATTGGGATCAATGGGCATGGCAGAGGTGTTGGTTGGTCCCGGTGGCTCAGTGGCTTGAGCATGGTGCTGGCACCAACAGTTTTGTGGGTTCCATTCCCACGTGGACCATGTAGTAAAAATATGTTTCAGTGTTGACAGTTTTATAAGTTGCTCTGGATAGAGGTGTCTGCTAAATGAGGAAGGTCCTATATTGATATGTCTAGTTACATTGGTGGCTGTTCTTTTTAAAATGTTCACTGAAGTTACTGTATTCCGCGGATGTACCATAAAATGAAAACAGGGATGAAGTGATAGTGAAAATAAAGGAGTAAAGTGTCTCATACCCAGGTGAATATGGAGAAGAAGGCGAAGGTGATAGCAGCGCGAGCGGCATCCCCTCCCTCCCTCAGGGGGTTGTCCTCCTGCTTCGCCACCTGCCATTGGTTGGCCAGGAAACAGAACCCCACAAACCACATGAAGGACCAGAACACTACAGGGAGAGAGAGAGAGAGAGAGAGAGAGAGAGGGAGAGAGAGAGAGAGAGAGAGAGAGAGAGAGAGAGAGAGAGAGAGAGAGAGAGAGAGAGAGAGAGAGGGAAAGAGAGGAGTGAGAGCGATGTAAAGGAGGAGGGGGAGAGGGAGGAAAGGAAGGGAGAGGGGATGAAAGGAGAGAGAGAGGGAGGAGGATGAATGGGAGTAGAGAGAGGGGGGAGAGGAGGGAGAGAGTAGGGGAGGTAGGGACAAAACGAGGATGGAGGGAGCAGCAAGGAAGGAAAGGGAGAGAGGGAGAAAACAGAAGTTAGAAAGGTTACATCGAATGTTAGCGAGAAAGAAAGACAGAGAGAGAGATGGTGAGAGAGAGAGAGATGGAGAGAGAAAGAGACAGAGAGAGAGAGAGAGAGAGAGAGAGAGAGAGAGAGAGAGAGAGAGAGAGAGAGAGAGAGAGAGAGAGAGAGAGAGAGAGAGAGAGAGAGAGAGAGAGAGAGAGAGACGAGAGAGAGAGAGAGATCGAGAAGAGATAGAGGAGACAGCGAGAGAAGAGAGAGAGAGAGAGAGAGAGAGAGAGAGAGAGAGAGAGAGAGAGAGAGAGATATCATCTGCAAATCTGTGTAAGCGACCAATAAACTTTGATTTGATTTGAAATAAAGAAGCAGGCTCATTATCCAACTCAACACTCGGTGACCATGTCATACCCTCTTGTCACTCAGCAACCTGTTCCTACGGTAACTACATCCACCTCAGAAGGCTGAACCCCTGTCACACACAGTCTAATAGGCTTGTAATAGATGTGTCTTTCTCTAGCTCTATTATCGTACTTCCCTATCACTGGAACTGACAGCAACAATAGACAACCAGTAGTAGAAAACCTGTAGATAGACCATGTTGGTTTCTGTTTTCTGTTGTTGTTAATCTCCTTCTCATGAATTGAGCAGGTAGGACACAGACATTACCCACCCTCTTCCACATCCCTCCCTTCTCTCCTCTCCCTCAACACATATCTATCCCCTCTCTCCCCTCTCTCATCCACCCTCTTGCTCATCTCTCCTTTACTCCCTCTCCATACACCTCCTCCATTCTCCTCTCTCTCTCTCTCTCTCTCTCTCTCTCTCTCTCTCTCTCTCTCTCGCTCTCTCTCTTTCTAACCTGACACCACTGCCAGCACAGTTTTCTTTGTCTTTCACACTACTGATCCCGCTTCACTCTCCTTTTCTCACTTCCCCATCACTTCCCCCATCCCTCTCCTCCATTCTCCCCCTCTCCATTCACCTGAAACCCCTACGTCTGCCAGTACAGCCTTCTTGCGGTCCTTGACGGAGCTGATCTGTGGGAAGTAGACATCCAGGGCCAGGAAGGCCAGACAGCAGAGAAAGGCCAGGATTCCCATGAACAGTCCATAGTTACACGCATTCTGGTTCCTGTCAATCAATCAATCAATCAGTCAATATCTGTATTGTGTAGTGCAACAGCAATAAAATAGTAAAGCAACAGTAAAGTAATAACAGCCATAACAGATGAGATATACATATAAAATGGCAAAGAGATCAGTCGAGTGTGTGTGTGTGTGTGTGTGTGTCTCACCTGTTGAAGATACAGAACTCCTGGGCCTCATTTGGTCGGTTCACGTAACCCTCGTTGGCTATAGAACCAAAGATCACAATGGAGAAGAACTGGAGAGAGAGAAGGATAGGACAGAGAGAGGGAGGGAGGGAGGGAGGGAGGGAGGGAGGGAGGGAGGGAGGGAGGGAGGGAGGGAGGGGAGAGGGAGAGGAAGGAGGGGAGGGAGAGAGGGAGAGGAAGGAGGGATGGGCGAGGAGGGTAGAGGGAAGGATTAAGGAAGAAAGATGATTAGATAAGTGAGAAATTAATATTTTAATTTAAATGAATTTCATCTGAGGTCTGTAATAACGCATTTTATAACAATATAATAATATAGTAGTTATATATGAAATACCAGTGCGCGCAAACACACACACTCATTATACTTGCAGTCTTGCATACATGTGTGTGTGTGTTTGTGTATGTGTGTGTGTGTTTGTGTGCGTGTGTCTATGTTGAGTGTCAGCCATACACACCAAGAGAATAGACTATACCTACACCTACTATACATACACTATCTCTAGTGAAACACACAGAGAGAATATACATACAGTACTTCACTACAGTATAAACACTGGCAGAATATACCTACAGTACTTCACTACAGTATAAACACTGGCAGAATATACCTACAGTACTTCACTACAGTATAAGCACTGGCAGAATATACCTACAGTACTTCACTACAGTATAAACACTGGCAGAATATACCTACAGTACTTCACTACAGTATAAACACTGGCAGAATATACCTACAGTACTTCACTACAGTATAAACACTGGCAGTGTCACGCCCTGGCTCTGGGGACTTTTATATGTTGAGCCAGGGTGTTAGTTTCTATGTGTTAGTTTCTGGGTGTTAGGTTCTATGTTTCGTTTTCTATGTTCTTGTTCTAGTTTATGTGTTTCTATGTTGGCCGGGGTGGTTCCCAATTAGAGACAGCGGTGGCTCGTTGTCTCTGATTGGGATCCATACTTAGGCAGCCTGTTGTGCACTTGTCTTTTGTGGGATCTTGTTCCGTTTAGGTTTGTGTTGTATGACCGAGGACTTCACGTTTCGTTTTGTTGTTTTGTTGTAGTGTGCAAAGTACGCATTAAAAGATGTACGCATATCACGCTGCGCCTTGGTCCACTGATTACGACGAGCGTGACAGAAGATCCCACCATACAAGGACCAAGCAGCGTGTGCAGGAGCAAACGCCGGGTAAGGAGCTGGAGAGGTTGGCGATGGCCCAGGTGGGCCAATGGTGGTCCTGGGAGAACATGTTCACGGGCAAAAGGCCATGGGCTAAAGTTAAAGCCCTGGCGAGAGAGGAGGTACGGCGCCAACAGTGTCGTCGTCGGACAGGCGAGAGGAAACCCCAATACATTTTTTGGGGGGGGCACACGGCATGGACGACGGGGCTGCTGGAGGCAGCTACAGGGCGAGTTTGTGGACTAGGAGAGGAGGCCACCAGGTTACGGGGGCCATTGGTCAGGAGGGAGAAGGAGAGTGTGGAGGCACGGCGAGAGGAACTGAGTAGGCAGCAGAGGGAGCGGAGGTTTATGAGGAAACCCACTCCCGCTCCTCGCACCAAGCAAGTGGTGTGTGTCACCAGTCCGGTCCGGCCCGTTCCTGATTCCCGCACAAGGCCAGTGATGTGTGTTCCCAGTACGGTCAGGCCCATTCCTGCTCCCCGCACTAAGTTAGTGGTGCGTGTTCCCAGTACGGCCCAACCCGTTCCTGCTCCCCGCACTAAGTTAGTGGTGCGTGTTCCCAGTCCGGCCCGACCCGTTCCCGCTCCCCACACTAAGTTAGTGGTGCGTGTTCCCAGTACGGCCCAACCCGTTCCTGCTCCCCGCACTAAGTTAGTGGTGCGTGTTCCCAGTATGGCCCAACCCGTTCCTGCTCCCCGCACTAAGTTAGTTGTGCGTGTTCCCAGTCCGGCCCAACCCGTTCCTGCTCCCCACACTAAGTTAGTGGTGCGTGTTCCCAGTACGGCCCAACCCGTTCCTGCTCCCCGCACTAAGTTAGTGGTGCGTGTTCCCAGTCCGGCCCGGCCTGTTCTTGCCCCTCGCACCAAGCCTGTGGTGCGTGTCGCCAGCCCGGCCCGGCCTGTTCCTCCCCCTCGCACCAAGTCTGTGGTGCGCGTCGCCAGCCCGGCCCGGCCTGTTCCTCCCCCTCGCACCAAGCCAGTGGTGCGCGTCGCCAGCCCGGTCCGGCCTGTTCCTGCCCCTCGCACCAAGCCAGTGGTGCGCGTCGCCAGCCCGGTCCGGACTGTTCCTGCTCCCCGCACCAAGCCTGTGGTGCGCGTCGTCAGCCCGGTCTGGCCCGTTCCTGCTCCCCGCACCAAGCCAGTGGTGCGCGTCGTCACCCCGGTCCGGCCTGTTCCTGCTCCCCGCACCAAGCCAGTGGTGCGCGTCGTCAGCCTGGTCTGGCCCGTTCCTGCTCCCCGCACCAAGCCAGTGGTGCGCGTCGTCAGCCCGGTCCGGCCCATTCCTGCTCCCCGCACCAAGCCAGTGGTGCGCGTCGTCAGTCCAGCACAGCCTGTGCCTGTTTCACCGGTGCATGGTCAGGTACTGGTCAGCTGCTCCACACCGGAGCCTAAGCAATCCGCTCCACCGATGTCCAGTCCAGCTCCAGCCAGCGGGGCCAGACCAGACCAGGGGCGCTACGTGGGGGTTAGTTAGAGGGTGGTGGTCACGCCCAGAGCCGGATCTGCCTCCGAGGCGGAATGCCCACCCGGCCCCTCCCCTGTTGGGTTTAGTTGGCGCGGTCGCAGTCCGCGCCTTTGGGGTGGGGGGTACTGTCACACCCTGGCTCTGGAGACTTTTATATGTTGAGCCAGGGTGTTAGTTTCTATGTGATAGTTTCTGGGTGTTAGGTTCTATGTTTCGTTTTCTATGTTCTTGTTCTAGTTTATGTGTTTCTATGTTGGCCGGGGTGGTTCCCAATTAGAGACAGCGGCAGCCTGTTGTGCACTTGTCTTTTGTGGGATCTTGTTCCGTTTAGGTTTGTGTTGTATGATCGAGGACTTCACGTTTCGTTTTGTTGTTTTGTTGTAGTGTGCAAAGTACGCATTAAAAGATGTACGCATATCACGCTGCGCCTTGGTCCACTGATTACGACGAGCGTGACAGGCAGAATATACCTACAGTACTTCACTACAGCATAAACACTGGCAGAATATACCTACAGTACTTCACTACAGTATAAACACTGGCAGAATATACCTACAGTACTTCACTACAGTATAAACACTGGAAGAATATACCTACAGTACTTCACTACAGTACAAACACTGGCAGAATATACCTACAGTACTTCACTACAGTATAAACACTGGCAGAATATACCTACAGTACTTCACTACAGTATAAACACTGCCAGAATATACCTACAGTACTTCACTACAGTATAAACACTGCCAGAATATACCTACAGTACTTCACTACAGTATAAACACTGGCAGAATATAGGGCTCAAGCTATTTCTACTAAGGGACTAATCCTATATTTCACTTAAGTCAAATGTTCACTTAGTTGTTTATTGATGTCAATGGAATTATATATTATTATTATATAATATTATGAATTGCCCTAAGAGAAAAGGCCCTATCTATCCATACCACTGAGAGAAAAGGTCCTATCTATCTAAACCACTGAGAGAAAAGGCCCTATCTATCTAAACCACTGAGAGAAAAGGTCCTATCTATCCATACCACTGAGAGAAAAGGCCCTATCTATCTAAACCACTGAGAGAAAAGGCCCTATCTATCTAAACCACTGAGAGAAGGGGTCCTATCTATCTAAACCACTGAGAGAAAAGGTCCTATCTATCTAAACCACTGAGAGAAAATGCCCTATCTATCCATACCACTGAGAGAAAAGGCCCTATCTATCTAAACCACTGAGAGAAAAGGCCCTATCTATCTAAACCACTGAGAGAAGGGGTCCTATCTATCTAAACCACTGAGAGAAAAGGTCCTATCTATCTAAACCACTGAGAGAAAATGCCCTATCTATCCATACCACTGAGAGAAAAGGTCCTATCTATCCATACCACTGAGAGAAAAGGTCCTATCTATCTAAACCACTGAGAGAAGGGGTCCTATCTATCTAAACCACTGAGAGAAAAGGTCCTATCTATCTAAACCACTGAGAGAAAATGCCCTATCTATCCATACCACTGAGAGAAAAGGTCCTATCTATCTAAACCACTGGGAGAAAAGGTCCTATCTATCTAAACCACTGAGAGAAAGGGTCCTATCTATCTAAACCACTGAGAGAAAAGGTCCTATCTATCTAAACCACTGAGAGAAAAGGTCCTATCTAACTATACAACTGAGAGAAACGGTCCTATCTATCTAAACCACTGAGAGAAAAGGTCCTATCTATCTAAACCACTGAGAGAAAATGTCCTATCTAACTATACCACTGAGAGAAAAGGTCCTATCTATCTAAACCACTGAGAGAAAAGGTCCTATCTATCTAAACCACTGAGAGAAAAGGTCCTATCTATCTAAACCACTGAGAGAAAAGGTCCCATCTATCTAAACCACTGAGAGAAAAGGTCCTATCTATCCATACCACTGAGAGAAAAGGTCCTATCTATCTATACCACTGAGAGAAAAGGTCATCTCTAACTATACCACTGAGAGAAAAGAGTAAGCATCTCTTGTTTATATCTCCAACCATTTTTCTCCCCCCTTTCCTGTTCTGGCTGCCTCTATTTTCTTCTATCTTTAGCACTGGTCCCTCTTTAGCCCTCATCTAATTGAAGTGGTCTGTGGAGAAAGAGAGAGATGGAGAGAGGGATGGATAGAGGGAGGGAGGGATAGATGCCCCCACCCTCATTAGTGCCCAGTCAGAGAGGAGGAGTGGAAGAACAGATGGAGGGAGGAGTGGAAGGGCCAGAGGAAGAGAGGGATGGATGGAGGGGTATTTATAGAGCCACTGCTTCACTCTTCTTCCTCTCCAGTCTCTCCCTCGTACCCTTTCTCTCTTTCTCTCTCTTCCTCTCCAGTCTCTCCCTCATTCCCTCTCTCTTTCTCTCTCTTCCTCTCCAGTCTTTCCCTCGTTCCCTCTCTCTCTTCCTCTCCAGTCTCTCCCTCGTTCCCTCTCTCTTTTTCTCTCTTTCTCTTCTTCCTCTCCCTCGTTCCCTCGTTCCCTGTCTTCCCATCCAGTCTCTCCCTCGTTCCCTCTCTCTCTTCCTCTCCAGTCTCTCCCTCGATCCCTCGTTTCCTTTCTCTCTCTTCCTCTGCGGTCTCTCCCTTGTTCCTTCGCTAAATGCTACTGCTCTCTCATCTCCCCTAGGGCCTCTTGAGAAACGAAGCACACACACACATACGCACACACACGCACACACACGGACACACACCTCATTCCAATCATTGTCTAGCATTCTAATGTCAAAGTAGGCCAAACACACACACACACACGAAAGGTGTTCATGCATACTTGTACAGTTTAGATGCTCTCAGATTTTGAATAAGATTTTTGGTAGAGTGGTTTTTGAAGCCTTATTTGAATATTACACCTGCATTGGAGCTGAAAGGAAGCATATCTTTCCACATGAAGACTCAAATCGGAGTGTGTGTGTGTGTGTGTATATAGGGGAGTTCCCTATTAATTGGACCGTTCACTGTCTATATTAAAAACCCCTGGTGTTTCCCCCAGTAAATCCCCCATAATGCTTTGGGAATCAACGTCCCCCTTGGGACTTAGTGATCTCTTTTACACACACACACACTCACCACTGCATTTCAGACCGACAGCCAAATGAAGTAATGATTAGCATGACTTTTTTTGTTTTTTGTTTTCTTTTTTTTGGGGGGGGGGGGGGGGGGGGGGGGGGGGGTAGATCAGCTTGAATATTGCAGATAGATTGTAACTTCCATCAATGTAATTGTCTGCATCACCTCCAATACCCCATGTTTTTTATGTGTATGTGTATATAAAAAACATGGGGGATTGGAAGTGTATGTGTGTGTGCGTATGTGTATGTGTGTATGTGCGTATGTGTGTGTGTGCTTCGTATACACATACATACACACATATACACACACACACACATACATACACACATACATACACATACCATTTTAATAAAAAAATATATATTCCCCTTTATTACTTTCCAACCCCACCACCCTTTCCCTACTTGGAGTAAACTAGTGAACAACAATGCTTAGGCCTCTACTTCCAGCCCATACCCACTATCTACATTTTATGGACACGGTCAATTTTACAATAATTATATTTTGTTCGTTTTTTCTTATGAACTTCCTCTACTCTCAACCTCTCCGATCATTTTCATGATGTCCATCCGGTTTGCTTCTATATGCAAACTGTGCTCTTTCACAAAAGCTCCCAACCTACAACCTATATACTTATTATGGACACATTCCATTCAACACCTCCCATCTATCTTTTAACACCATCCATATAGGATTTCTATTTGCCATATATATTTCAACTGTACTGTGATGTCTTACAAAAGTTCTGAACCTTTCTATTCTCATTGTTTCTACAGATTGTGAATTGAAAATAAACATTTTTGCTAAAAGTATTATTTTGTTATTGATCGATTGACTATGACTTTTCAGATCACCCAGTAATGCTATCTGCAGGGTTAGCTCCAGGTAAATATTGCAATCCTTTATCCATTCCTGGACCTGTGTCCAAAAACAAGCTACAAATGGACAGTACCAAAACAAATGATCTAATGATTCTGTCTCTTCGCAGCAAAATCTGCAGAGCTGGGACGATTGTATCCCCCATATAAACAACATTATATTGGTAGCAAGAATTGTATATAATAATTTAAATTGAAAGATTCTAAGTTTGAATCCGGTGTCGTTTTGCGTATCAGTTCATAAACACTTTGCCATGGGATCGGTACGTCAAAAATCGCTTCCCAACTATTTTACAATCTATATGGGACGGCTGTCAATCCTTTGGTCCTTAAATGAAACTGATATACTTTTTTATGTATCGCAGTTTTCCTTAACCAATTATGTTCTTTAATGCAAGGCTGACAGACAAGTTCCTTATTAGCATGACTTAGGGTGTGTCTGAAATGGCATCCTATTCCCTATATAGTACACTACTTTTGATCATAGCCCTATGCTATTTAGGGACTAGGGTGCCATTTGGGACTCATACTTAGTAGCTGATTGGGTTAGAAAAGGTATTGGGTCATAATTTTATTTGGCATCACATGGAATGTTTCCTATTGAATCTGTCTCTGTCTGTCTGAATGTCTCTCTCTCTCTCTCTCTCTCTCTCTCTCTCTCCTCTCCTCTCTCTCTCTCTCGCTCTCTCTCTCTCTCTCTCTCTCTCTATCTCTCTCTCTCCAGTAGGTGTGTGTTTTCTCCCAGGCCCTGTCCTGTATCCGACTCATGTCAAGGCCCCAGGCCCAAATCAAAGCCAGCATTGTGCAGGCCAGCACGTGGGGTCCTGATCTTGTGACCATCCAATGAGCCACTTTGAAATTAGGCTTTACGTTCGGCAGAATAATTTATATTTGCGTGTGTATGTGTCTGCATTAGCATGCCTGCCTGTGTGAGTGTGTGTGTGTGTGTGTGTGTGTGTGTGTGTGTGTGTGTGGTGTGTGTGTGTGTGTGTGTGTGTGTGTGTGTGTGTGTGTGTGTGTGTGTGTGTGTATATGTATTGATAGAGACTGCTGTTTATGAGAGGAAAGACAGTAAATGTGATTTGTGTGTTGGGCTTAGAATGAGAAGGAGATAGAGAAGAGAGAGAGAGAGAGAGAAGAGAGCGAGAGAGAGGCGAGAGGGACTTGCGCTCTCTCGCTACTGAGGACTCGGCGGTTTGGGGTGTTGTTTTTTGTTTTTTTTTTTTTGTTTCTTTTTCACGCAGCTCAAGACTATCTAGTCCTTCGATATCGCAGCCAGACAGATCAGATATCATAAAACTATCCACGATTTTTGTTATTCTTTTTTTCCCTTTTTCTACAGTCCCATTGAAGACCCCATTTAATACCACCAATTTATACCTTTGCCCCTCTTTAATTAAACATTTCACCAGCTTCAACCCCGCCTTTACCTACCTAATGGCCTCTTGCCAAACCTGTATTATACAAATATTTGATTTCTTTTAATTCTCTTGTAGACTTTCTAGTGTAAATGTTTCTGTTTAAGGGTATGTTATGTTAAATTTCAGTTTTGATTCACGTTCTCTTCATTGCTTGTGCAATGTTAACATAGTTTCCCATGTGCCAATAAGACCAATAAAATTGAATTGGGAGAGAGGAGAGAGAGCGAGAGCGAAGAGAGATAGAGAGAGAGAGGAGAAGGAGAAGGAGGAGAGAAGAGAGCGAATAGAGAGAGACAGAGAGCGAAACAGAGAGTACAGAGAGAGTCTGGAAGGATTGACTTTTGTCTGTTGGGTTGTGTGTGTGTGTGTGTGTTTGTGTGTGTGTTGTGTGTGTGTGTGGGGTTGTGTGTGTTTGTGTGTGTGGTGTGTGTGTGTGTGGTGTGTTGTGCGTGCATGCATGCTTTTGTGAGTTTGTGTACAGTACTCTGACTTCTAGTCATTAAGCCTAATGTGTTTAGCAGTATGGTGTCAGAATGTGGGGCACATTGTTACTGACCGGCCCCTGACCATAGAATCCTGATTCCTGCCCATTTTAAAAACTTCCAAACCCCTTTAAGATTTTTTCTAGGCTGTTAACCTCTGAAAACCCAAATTTTCAAACTACTAACTATGGTCTATACTGCTTTGTACTTCACTTTCCTTTAACCCACGAAAAAGGAAAAGGGAGAGAGGGGGAGAGAGGGGGGTAGAGAGAGACAAAGAAAACAAGAGAGAACGAGAGAGAACGAGAAAGAAAGAGAGAGAGAGATGTTAGATGAGAGATTTCCCTTTCTCTCTCTTTCGCTCTCTCTCTCTGTCTCTCTCTCGCTCTCTCTCTGTCTGCTACCTATGTGTGATTCTGCAACTGTATTGCTACTTAGCCTGTATATACTGTAACTCAACACCAGCCAGAGAAGATGGAGAGAGAGGGGAGAGGGAGAGACCATGGAGAGAGAGGAGAAGAGAGAGAGACGAGAAAGGGGGGGGAAGGAGAGAGAGAGAGAGAGGGGAGAGAGAGGGGGGGAGAGAGGGGAGAGGAAAGACCCCCCCCCGGGGGGGGGGCCCCCCCCCCCCCCCCCCCCCCCCCCCCCCCCCCCCCCCCCCCCCCCCCCCCCCCGGGGGGGGGGGGGGGGGGGGGGGTTTTTTTTTTTTTTTTTTTTTTGGGGGCCCCTAGGAGTTAAGAAACAACCTTCCCCCCTTTTTAAAAACGAACCCCAATTTTTCCTTATTTTTCCCGACCAAGGAATTAAACCAGGGTTTTTTTTCACCCGGGGGGGGGCGATTTAAAAAAATTTAAAACCCCAAATAAAACCCAAAACAAAAATTTACAAATTTTTCTCATAACATAAAAACCACTTCCCCCCAAAAAACCTCTCTACATTCCATTATTGGCCGGGAAAACCCTTTTTATAGAAAAAAAATTTTTTACCCCTTAAAAATAAGATTTAATGGGGAGGGCCCTTTTTGTAATTTTTTGGTTAAATTAATAAACAATGGGAATTGGGGAAAGGGAAAAAAAAATTTTTTGCCCGGAAAGGGTAATTTCCGGGAGGAAAAAAGGACCCCCCGGGGGGGGGGCCCCCCCCCCGTAAAAAAAATTTTTTTTCCCCCAAAAATTTTTTTTTTTTTTTTTCCCCCCCCCCCCCCCCCCAGGAAAAAAAAAAAACCCCCCCCCCCCCCCCAAAAAAAAAGAAGGAGAAAAAGGAAGGAAAAAAAAAAAGGGGGAAAAAAAAAAAAAAAAAAAAAAGGGGAAAGGAAAAAGGGCCGTAGGGGGGGGGGGGTTTTAAAAAAAAAAACCCCCAAAAAAAACTGCGTTTTAAAAGGGTTAAAAATGGGGGGCCCGAAATACCCCAAAAAATTCCCCCCAAAACCTTTTTTTTTTAAAATTTTTAAATTTTAATTAACCCCCCCAAAAACTTTCCCCCAAAATTTCAAAATTTTACTACCCCCCAAAAACCCAAATTAAATTTTTTTAACCCTTTAAATATTTTTTTTTTTAACCCTCAAGGGGATATGGTTATTTTTTTTTTTGGTTTTTTGGTTTTGGGTTAAAAAAGGGGAAAAAGGTTGATTTCTGGTTTTTTGGTCTTTTTTCCCCCCGTCTTCTCCCTTTTCTTTCTGTCTGTCTGTCTGTCTGTCTGTCTGTCTATCTGTCTGTCTATCTCTGTCCTTTTTCCCGTTTCTTATCAGTGGAACACATGGACTGGGCCTTTATCTTCTTCTGTTATCGTTGTGGCCTATAGGTGACCATTCAATGGTACATACAGCCCTCTGAAAACACACACACACACACACACACACCCCTGTGAACGCCGCTACGCCAGACAGTTTATTGCTTGTACTATAGGCCCACTGGATCACTATAAATAAACAATGTGTAGACTATATGTAGCCTAGTTGCAAGTTAATTTAGTAAGGAGTAGAAATGGATAGGCATGAATCGTTTATGCATAGCCAAGTTAGTTTAATTCTTCGCAAATAAAAATAAAGGTAGTTAATTTACATTGGCACCCTATTTCCCAGGTCAAATGTAGTGCACTGCATAGCGAATAGGGTGCCAATTGGGACGCCGCCTCGGATTCAACAGATCGAATAGCGGGGGAAACACAAACTACAACAAAACACCTGGGCACCGTGCCTATGGCTGCATTTCTCTAGGTTCTATAGCTACAACCGCTACAAAATCATAGGCCACATGCGTCGTGCGCCTTGTTGCGTGCATCCCCAAAACGTCGACCATGTTTCAGGTTCCAACTAGCCTACAACATATTTGGACAGTGCTGCTACAGGTCTTCTATGCTTATAGTGCACATGCACGCACTGGTGTGATAGTGAGAATTGAGAAACAGGGAAGCAGCCAGCGATAGGAGCACATTCTGAGTCAACCATACATACATAAAAGACGCCCGTCGTTCGGGACCGACGCCGTTATTAGCCTGAAACGAGCAGCACGTAAGCTACTGTAATGGTAAAGGTATAGGCTATATAACTGTAACGGTACTCACCCAAGAGAGGATCCGGAGGATGGTGTGTGGCTGCTGGAAGAACGTTATAGGGTTGAAAGCACCTCCAGCCTTCCCAGCTCCATATGCCATGCCCTCCATTTTCCGACTCCGGGCGGTGCGTGTGTGTGTGCGTGTCAGAGAGTGTGTGTGTTCTCTCCCTTCCCCGTCTCTCTCTCAGAGAACCAAGAGAGTTCTTCTAACGGATTTTGACACCATATTCCAGTCTATTCAACCTATTTCTCTCCCTCTCTCGTTCTCACTCACTCACCAACTCTCTCTTTATTCTATTTGTTCCTATCTCGAATCCCCGCTTCTTATCTGTTGCTGTCTATCTGCCTATGTTATGATTATCTCGCTCTCTCTATTCCCTAATGCCATGGTGAAGAACAGGGGAGAGAGAGAGAGAGAGAGAGAGAAATGTGTCGGTGCGCGTAACCCCGTTGTACAACCTATCCTCACAGGGTTACGCACCTCTTCTCAACATCACAACGGCCCATTGGAGAGTCATGTGCTGCACGTTTGTCATAGCCGGGAAAGAGAGAGAAGAGGAGAAACCCTGAGGGGAGGGGGTAGACCTACACAGACTTTGGCAGTCTAGTTTTGGCTTCTAATTGCGTGATAATCTTAGGACACAACAGGGATGGCATTTAGACCTACCTACCATAGACAATTATGATAGAAATGTGGGCCTGTAAATATGACTCTATCTGTACATTTTAGTCATTTAGCAGACGCTCTTATCCAGAGCGACTTACAGTGAATGCATACATTATTTTTTTCATACTGGCCCCCCGTGGGAAACGAACCCACATCCCTGCCGGCCAAACCCTCCCCTACATTGGACGACGCTGGACCAATTGTACGCCGCCCATGGGTCTCCCGGTCGGCTGCGACAGGTCTGGACTCGAACCAGGATCTCTAGTGGCACAGCTAGCACTGCGATGCTGTGCCTTAGACCACTGCGCCACTCGGGAGTCAATGTATCCATTCAAATTATATTGATCAGCTATTCTAAAAGATGTGATTTATGTTCCACTGAAAATATCACTGAGGCAGTACATAGACAATTCTTAATACCTTACTGGCTCTAACACAGGAGTAAAATTCCGTAGGCTAATTGCTAGAATAATGGTCTACAGTTATAATAAACGCTTCCATCTAGCGGTGATGGAGGGAACAGTCACGTTGGGCTCAGTTTGACGTCAACGATCTTACGTTGACAAAGCTGGCCAATGACAGAGCAGATATCGATACGCGCTCCTTGGTTGGACCAGTGAGAGCGTTTGTGCTCAGGTTGCTAGGAAACGCGTCGTGTCCATGTTGCCGAGGCGGAAGGAAGATTCTGGAGTGTAAAATAAAAAACACAAAGCAGTTTTGAACATTTTGCTAATATATGTATTTGTTTGTACCCAGCCATGGTGAAATTAAGAGCAAGGTGCCTTCTTGTTGGTAAGATTTTGAAATCTATTCGTTGCTAAGAAGTTGATTTGGGATAGCCAACGTCTGTACCGTAATGTAGCTGAGTTAGGCTAGCTTGCAAAACGTTGGATAGGACAGCAGTGTAGCTAGATAGCTAACTAAGTTAGAAAAGGACCTAGATAGCTAACAGTTTTACAACCATTTACAAGTTACCTAACTCAAGGGTTACACGTTTGAGCAGGGTAAACATGGAAGAAACGTATGTATTCGCTCTCCCTCTCTTTCCCACCTCTCTCTGTCGTTCTCTCTCTCTCGCGCGCCACCGTTGACCTCTCCCTCTTCAGGAGACGCAGCGGTGGGGAAAAGTGCTCTCTCTCAGATGTTCCGGAGTGATGGAGCACACTTCCAGAAGAACTACAGTATGGTGAGAAAATAACTTTGAGATGCACACACACACACACACAAACTGGCCTCGTTCTAGCCTGGTCTCCCAGATCTGTTTGTTTGTGCTCTTGCCAACTCCATTGCCAATTCCATGGTAACAGAATTGCACTGCGACTCAGATTTTTCACTTAAAATGTATGCCAAACAAAAACCATTGATTAAAAAAAGTTTAACAAACTATACAACTCTATGCACAAGGACTACTTTGAACAATATACACTGAACATTTTACAAAAACGCATTTACTGGAAGAACTGTGCTGATGGCAAGTTTGGTATCCGAATTTAGGTAAAATCTCCCTCAGTTTTTTGTGTCCACATATTCCAAAAGCTCTGTTCAATATCTGCTCAGAATTAAGATTCAACAATGTCTGCAGAAAGAATGGGGTGTCAGCTATGACATGACACATTGCCTTTAAAAAATATATATTTTGGTTATTGAACTACATTAAGTGAAGTGGATTTACATCTGGTAACGGAATTGTGGTAACATAATTTCATCATGTGTCCCTAATCTGTATTTGAGATTCTTCAAATAGCCAACCTTTGCCTTGATGACAGCTTTGCACACTCTTGGCATTCTCTCAACTAGCTTCACCTGGAATGCTTTTCCAACAGTCTTGAAGGAGTTCCCACATATGCTGAGCACTTGTTTGCTGCTTTTCCTTCACTCTACAGTCCGACTCATCCCAAACCATCTCAATTGGGTGGAGGTCGGGGGATTGTGAACGAATGACAAAACTGCACATTTTAGAGTGGCCTTTTATTTTCCCCAGCACAAGGTGTACCTGTGTAATGATCATGCTGTTTAATCAGCTTCTTGATATGCCACACCTGTCAGGTGGATGGATTATCTTGGCAAAGGTGAAATGCTCACTAACAGGGATGTAAACAAATTTGTGCACAAAATTTGAGAGAAATAAGCTGGTTGTGCGAATGGAACATTTCTGAGATCTTTTATTTCAGCTCATGAAACATGGGACCAACACTTTACATGTTGCGTTTATATTTTTGTTCAGTATAGGTACACAAAGCCAAAGATATAAATATGCAATATCCTCCTTTCCATATTTGGGTATTATTCTACACACTGGCTATTATTTTAATCTGAACCAATCATAGACGTCTATGTTTCACACGTTTGGACATCACAGCACAGAATTGTACGTTTTAATCACTTAATCATTCATAAACAAAATTGATATCAGTAAAAACACTATAACTAATTGATAGGTCTACCATTACTTGTTACTTCTGTGAACTTTCATTATCCTCCCTCCTCATGAGGGAGAGAAATTAGAAAATATCTTAAAGATATTTGGGTTTTTGGTGATGGAATTTCAAAAATGTCTCCAAAACGAAATATAGGTGTTGATATTGGTTGGCAGTGGTCTTTATTTCAACATTATTGTGTTTTGATGTATTTCTAATACCTTTTAAGACTTTTCCATATGTTTGACCAGAAATGTGCCTACATTTTTGTATGTAAAATGGTTGAAAATGTACATATGCCTTAATGTCTCAAAACTATAGAATTTTAGCTTTCATTTGACACCCGATTTGACATGCTCCAATGAACTTCACATGTTGGTGATCATGGGTCCTTTCACATGGAAATGTCCTGCTGTCATTCTCAAGCCAAACATTGGTATGACAATGAAGAGTTGACATGATAGCACAAACAGACTGGCACTCAGGCCAACTGGCCTCGCCTGGTTACATTTACATTACCTGTCTAGGGCCAAGCTGCCCCTAGATGCTGATCTTGGATCAGTGTTGCATTTCCCCCATTAATGGTTAAGGATAGTATAGGATTGGGTGAGGGGAAGGTGATCCAAGATCTGTGTGCGAGTGTGAGTGTAGCTGTGTCAGCAGGACTGAGGGTTGAAGCAGGAGAAGGGAACGTTGATAATTGATACAGCCAGGCTCAGGAAAGCCACTGGCACATCTGCTTATTAACAAGCACACCACACACACTGCATAACAACAACGCACTGGTGTGAGTGTGTGTGTGTGTGTGTGTGTGTGTGTGTGTTGTGACACACAGGTCTAAGTGAACCGAGACAAATCACATTTTATTTGTCACGCTCCGAATACCACTGGTGTAGACTTTACTGAGAAATTCTTGCTTACGAGCCCTTCCCAACGATGCAGAGTAAAACATTTGATAAAAATAATAATAATAATAGTAACTCAAGAGGAGTAAAATCCACAAGAATGCAGCTATATACAGGGAGTACCAGTACCAGATCAATGTGCAGCTATATACAGGGAGTACCAGTACCAGATCAATGTGGAGCTATATACAGGGAGTACCAGTACCAGATCAATGTGGAGCTATATACAGGGAGTACCAGTACCAGATCAATGTGCAGCTATATACAGGGAGTACCAGTACCAGATCAATGTGCAGCTATATACAGGGAGTACCAGTACCAGATCAATGTGGCAGCTATATACAGGGAGTACCAGTACCAGATCAATGTGAGCTATATACAGGAGTACCAGTACCAGATCAATGTGGAGCTATATACAGGGAGTACCAGTACCAGATCAATGTGGAGCTATATACAGGGAGTACCAGTACCAGATCAATGTGGAGCTATATACAGGGAGTACCAGTACCAGATCAATGTGCAGCTATATACAGGGAGTACCAGTACCAGATCAATGTGCAGCTATATACAGGGAGTACCAGTACCAGATCAATGTGGAGCTATATACAGGGGAGTACCAGTACCAGATCAATGTGCAGCTATATACAGGGAGTACCAGTACCAGATCAATGTGAGCTATATACAGGGAGTACCAGTACCAGATCAATGTGAGCTATATACAGGGAGTACCAGTACCAGATCAATGTGCAGCTATATACGGGAGTACCAGTACCCAGATCAATGTGGAGCTATATACAGGGAGTACCAGTACCAGATCAATGTGCAGCTATATACAGGGAGTACCAGTAACCAGATCAATGTGCAGCTATATACAGGGAGTACCAGTACCAGATCAATGTTGGAGCTATATACAGGGAGTACCAGTACCAGATCAAATGTGGAGCTATATACATGGGAGTACCAGTACCATATCAATGTGGAGCTATATACAGGGAGTACCAGTACCAGATCAATGTGGAGCTATATACAGGGAGTACCAGTACCAGATCAACTGTTGGAGCTATATACAGGGAGTACCAGTACCAGATCAATGTGGAGCTATATACAGGGAGTACCAGTA